ATGTCTCCGCAAACAGATGTAAATAAAGTTATGAGATGGCATGGGTGCCCCAGGGGACAAACAGACACAGGAGCCAGGGCACTAAACTCCCAAGTAGAGGTGAATTTAAGTATCAGGGCAAATGGGGCACAGAACAAAGAGAGATGCTAGGACAATGGGGGGGGGGGGGGAGCAACTGCCAAAATGCTCCTGGAAGATGTTAGATAAGATTGGGTTCTGGGACAAACTTAGCTTACTTCCTACCTTCCTGTGGGCACAACAGGAATATTAATTTTACAATTTTTATGGTCTTACTATATGTCAGTTCCCAACCGTTCAGCATCCTGGATGCTGACATCCTAACTGCTCTAGAGGAAATTTTTACTCAGAAGCCCTCAAAAGTATTTGGGTACATATCAGTCTTTGTGGTCCATGAGTCCCATTTAGAGGGATTCTCACAGCCCCATCCCTTCTTGGAGACATGGGGTGGGAGGACAGAGGGGGGAGGGGGGAGGAGCACTTACCTATTCAAAGTTTTAGACTTTGAATGTTGTGATGACCCCCCCAGCCATAAAATTATTTCATTTCTACTTCATAACTATAATTTTGCTACTATTACAAATCATAATGTAAATATCTGATATTTGATCTAAGAGATCTTGACCCACCACTTGAGAACCACTGCTCTTGAACAAGAGGAACTTTCCTTGTTTGAAAAGAAGGTAATAAACAGAAAGATACAATCAAGATACATTATATGCATGTATAAAAATATCAGAAAACAAAAATAAACATCAGTAAACCCCATAATTCCTTATTATAAATTAATTTCTTAAAAGTCAATAATACTTAGAAGTACACTAACACATACTAAAACTGGATCAATAGAGAGATTAGCATAGAATTAGCTTAAAAATCAATGGACTAGGATACTTGCAAAATGTTACCAACAGGGGAAACGGAATTAAGTTTGTATTGTGTGAATCTATGATTATACTATATAGAACTAGATTAGTATAAAATACCAACATGTAAGCATACAATGTATTCAACATACACATCTGATTCAACACATTAATAATTTCAATTAAGAACCAAATATATAAAGCCTAGCCAGCAACTTCAGACTGCACCCACTCCCCTGGGCGTCACTTAGGGGCCCACAGCCCCGGCAGCTTTATCTGAAGCCAGAGTGGTCCTAGGGACCCCAGGGAAGACACTACCCACTACCTGCTAAAAACCCTGTCCAACAACCCTGGATTGCACCCCTACCCCTGGGCCCCATATCCTGGCCTAGAATTTTGGAAGTCTTCTCAGCTTTACCAGAGGCCAGGTAGGATCTAGGAATCCCAGGTGAGACACCACCAGCTAATACTCCTTAAAACCCACCTAATAACCCCAGACTGTACCCCCTCCCCTAGGCTCCATACTAGGGCCCACAGCCCAGCAGCCTTACAGGAGGCCAGGCTAGACCTAGGAACCCAGGTAAGACCACAAAACCCCTTTAGAGCCTTCCCAACAACTCCAGACTACACAATTCCCCCAACTCCCTACCCCCATATCCTGGTCTACAACTTTGGAAGAAGACGTCCGAGTTACCAGAGGTCAGGCTGGATCTAGTGACCCTGGGTCTACAACTTCAGAAGAGTTCAGCTTTACTGGAGACCAGGCTGGTCCTAGGGACTCCAGAGTCCACGCCAGATCAAGGGACCCCAGCCTCTCCCTGGCTACAACTTCAGAAGAAGACTGGCTTTACCAGGAGCCAGGCTGGATCTAGGGACCATTAGCCCCCAAAACCCCAGAGGGGACATCCTATTGGACCTGAAGACACACTAGTCACCATAACCCTTGGCCATTTAGGCCAGAAAACCAGAGAGGAAAGAGAAACCAAGGGACAAAATCCAGATGTCTGAACCCCATGTCAGAACACAATCAGTAGCAGAAAAGACAATATAGCAATAGAGCCCATCTATCCTACAACAGCAAGACCTGAGCAATCCAACATAGCCGAAGCACAAGAAAACAACCGTAAAAATTACTTTATGATGACAGAGATTCTTAAAAGGGATATGAAAAATCCACTAAAGAAGTTGAGAAAAAAAACAAAAAATTGGGAAAAAAAAAAATCAATAAATCCTTTAAAGAAAAAACAGTTAAAGGAAACTGTTTCAAGACCTGAAAATGGAAATAGAAGTAATAAAGAAAACACAAACAGAGGGAATCCTGGAAATGGAAAATCTGGGTAAGTGAACAGGAACTACAAATGCAAGCATAACCAACAGAATACAAGAGATGGAAGAGACAATCTCAGGTGCTGAATACACAATAGAGGAGATAGATTCATTAGTTAAAAAAAAAAAAAAAAAAGTTAAATCTGAAAAATTCCTAACAGAAAACATTCAGGAAATTTGAGACATTATGAGAAGACCAAACATATGAATAATAGGAATAGAAGAAGAAAACCAGCTGAGAATATATTTTAAAAAGTCATAAAAGTTTCCCAACCTAAGTAAGGACATGCCTATAAAGGTACAAGATACCAAATAGACTTGCATCAGAAAACAAAATCCCCTCTTCACATAAAAATCAAAACACTAAACATACAAAACAAAGGCAGCATATTAAAAGCAGCAAGGGGAAATGACCAAGTAACAATATAAAGTCAGACCTACTAGAATCACACCAGACTCCCAAAGGAGACCCTAAAATCCAGAAGGGATGTTTAGTAGACTCTGAGACACCACAGATGCCAGCCCAGACTACTACACCCAGCAAAACTGTCAATCACCACAGATGGAAAAAACAAGATATTTCCTGATAAAGTCAAATTTAAATAACATCTATCCATAAACCCAGCCCTGGAAAAGGTACAAGAAGAAAAACTCCAACCCCAAGAAGTTAACTACACCCATAAAAACACAGGCAATAAAAAAAAAATCTCACACCAACAAAACCCAAAGAATGAAAACACAAACATATACACACATAACACACACACAGCACCACCACCAACAACAAAATAACAGGAATTAACTATCATTTGTCATTAATAACCCTCAATATCAATGGACTCAATTTGCCACTAAAAGACACAGGCTATAGGATTGGATTCGAAAATAGGATCCATCCTTCTGCTGCATACAAAAAACACACCTCAACTTCAAAGAGAGATACTACCTCAGAGTAAAGGGTTGGAAAAAGATTTTCCAATCAAATGGATCTAAGAAGCAAGCTGGTGTAGCTATCCTAATATATACAAAACAGATTCCAACCAAAATAAAAAGATGGCGGAAGCACACTCAGCACACTAACACCACAAGAACACTCACTCAACCATGCTCATAGCAGCAGTATTTGCAATAGCCAGACCCAAAAAGACAAATATGGTATATGTACTCACTCATAAGTGGTATTAGCTACAATCTAAAGGATAACTATGCTACAATCTAAAGACCCAGAGAGACTAGGTCTGAGGGGACACCCAGATCTCCCAGGGAAATGGAAATAGAAAAGATTTTGTGAATGTACCGAGGGCAGGTAGGCATGGGATCAGGTTGGGTAGTAGGGACCACTGAGGGAAAGACATTATTAGAAGGGGGGGAGGCATTTTGGAGTCAGGTTAAAAACCTGGCACAAGGGAATCTCCTAGGAATTTACAAGGAAGACCCCAGGTAAGACTCCTAGCAACCACAGCTATGTAGCCTGAACTGGCCATCTCCTATGACCAGACTGGTGCCTAGCCCAATTGTTACCAGAGGCATTATCCAGCAACTGATGGAAACAGATGCAGAGGCCCACAGCCAAACAAACATTAGGCGGGAATTTGGGGAATCCTGCAGAGGAGGAGAAAAGATAGTAGGAGCCAGGGGTATCAAGGACACCACAAGAAAACTCACAGAATCAACTAACCTGGGCTCATAGGGTCTCACATAGAACTGACAACCAGGGAGCCCACACAGGACTGACCTAGGCCCTCTGCATACACATTAGTTGTGTAGCTTGGTCCTCCTTTGGGACTCCTGCGGTAGGAACAGGGGTTGTAGCCTACTCTTTTACAGGCTTTTAGGACCCTACTCCTCACACTGGGACTTTGTCTTGCCCAGCCTTAACACATGGGGAGGAGCTTAGTCTTACTGCAACCTGATATGCCATGTTTTGTTGATACTTATGGGAGATCTGCCCCTTCCTAAACAGACACAGAGGAGTGGACTGGGGGGGGGGGGGTGGAAACAGAGAGGGGGAATGGGGAAGAGGAAGTAGGAGGGGAGGAGGAAGAGGAAACTGCAGCAGGAATGTAAAATAAAATATATATATTTTTTTTTTTTTTAAAAGAACCAAATATACATATAGTCCAGTATAACGCATGAGGATCATCCAAGACAGGACCACAGTCCCCTGGTTTAAAGATTTTTAAAAGCATTGACTTTAGGCCGAGCATGGTGGTGCCTACCTTCAATCCTAGCTCTCCGGATGCAGAGGCAGGTGGTAGATTTCTGTGAGTTCAAGAATGGCCTGGTCTTCACAGTGAGTTCCAGGACAATCAGAGCTACACAGAGACTCTGTCTCAAAAAACAAAAGATACATACTTTACCTAGCTATTTATTAATCCCTGAAATATATGAAATAAGACATGAAATACCACTAGGAACAGTGATGAAAGAGTTAAAAGAAAATGAGAAAGACTGCTACAACAATGCACCCTTCGCACAAAATCCGAAAGCTTGATTTAGTAATTTTTTTTCTCCCTGGGAACCTCATGAAACAGAATATTTATTTTTAAAGATTTAGTTATTGTTATGTATACAGTGTTCTGCCTGCATGTATGCCCGCACACCAGAAGAGGGCACCAGATCTCATTACAGATGGTTGTGAGCCACCATGTGGTTGCTGGGAATTGAACTCAGGTCCTCTAGAAGAGCAGCCAGTGCTCTTAACCTCTGAGCCACCTCTTCAGCTCCATAAACAGTTATTTATAAGCAAACCATCATGTATTCCACCCCCAAATAATCACCAAGGCAAAATTAATGGGAAAATAGTTTAATATTTTATAGCACAAAATAAACTGAGACAGGGAGAAGCATCGAGCTATTTCACAACCCCTAGGTTACCCTGTCATGCCCCATCTCGCCGGATCTGTGAACGACAGCACATCCCACCAGTGGGTCCTACAGCCCCTCCTCGAGGCAGTCTGGAGGACACACCCCAGTCTCCTCCGGCTCTCACCCTGACGTGGTGTCATACATAAGCACTGCTGCCGGCATGGCTACAGCTCTACAGGACAGCCTCTCCGTTCCGGAGACATCAGCTCCTCTCAGCCCCTCTCAGACTGGACTTCTGACTTCGTTTCTCCTTCTGACCCTGGATCCGGAAGAGCTTCTTCCTCAGGTCCTTCTGCCGCCTCAGCTTCTCCTCCTCCTCCTTCTGCTTCATCTTCACGTGCTCCTTGTTGTGAAGGTGTCTCTGTTCTTTGGCCTTTTTCATTTTCTGACTGTGTATTGTGCTCAGAGCATCTAGCAGAGCCAGGACCTGACAAGACAAAAAGTGGTGAGCACAACAAGCCAGCCGGAGCCTGCCTGTCACCTATGTAACCAGGACCTCAGCACACCAACTGCTGGGATCAAATGAGATTCAATCCCAAGTGGAAATTATTTGAGTGAAAATTCACTACAACTTGCATGGCGATGTAGGCATGTATTTTACCTTTATGTTAAAACCACCCACGTTGATCACTGTACGGAACCATATACAGCTAGCCAAGTTGTTCACCAGACAGGTATCTCTTACTCCCTATCAGACACTGGTGGAAAATGACTAACCAAGGAAGTCAAACAGCCTCTGGTTTTTCAAGGACTCTGCACAAGCCTGGCCCTTATGCTTTCCCAGTGAAGTCTCAGAATACAGTGGAAATGATGGTGTGCTGCCGAAAGCACTAGCTTCACATCTAAATGCAATGAGAAATACAGCACACTCAGACAGTACCTTCCTCTCATGAGGTTCACGTATAACGGCCGGTCTCTGCCTATCCCTTGGTACTTTTCCTGCCTTTGCTTGGATCTTGGGCTTGTTCTTAAATGGCAGAGCCTTCTGCAAGACTTTTGGAATATGCAGTGAATTAAAATGTTTCTTTTGTCTCAGGATTGGCTGAAAAGGAAAAAAAAATAAAACAAAGATTATATTTAAAGTATACATACATGTACTTAAAACTATTATATAAGATCGTCTCATGGACTGACTTTTCTACAAACTCAGCTACACAAGCATCTGCTAACTACCAGAAATCAGAATTCAATCATCACTCATGCATGTGGACTGCCTCAATGGGTATCTACACACCGAAGCAAAAAAAGAGTGCACACCTAACATTCACGGGTCTTCTGACATTCAGCTGGGTCTACTTGTAGAGAGTGGAGCTATGGGTCTTAAACAGAGCACAAAGAGAGGTTCAAAGTGTCTCAGTAGAGAGCTTGGGTTGCTCTCTGGGAATCTGGGTGGTTCTTTTCTAGCATATAACAAGGATAGTCTAGCTTCTCAATGACTGTTAACATCTCTTCCTCAGCAGTCAAAGTTAAACTCTTATTCTGACTAAGATTTAACCAGCACATACAGCATAATCCACACACTGAATTCTATGTTGAAATTAAATAGTCTGACCTGGATATTAACCACTCCAGAGATTACTGTAAACAGAGTTCTCCAGGTACCCAAAAAGGGAAGAAACAGAATTTTATTTTTTTAAACAAATGGGAGATTAAAAAGCAGTTAACAAAATAGGAGAAAATAAATCTTTCTAATGTACACAGAGTAGCCAGCTGAATTTTTAAAAAGACAGATCCTATTACATGCTACCTAGCAGAAATACAGTTTGATGTTAAGAACACCTAAGCTAAAAGTGAAGGGATAGAAGATATTCAACGCCATCAGTAACACAAAACTAACAAAACCTCTTTACAGGCTCTGGATCCATTATCCACAGCCTAAATGATGAACAAGATATTCAAAAAAGAGGAAACAATAAAAACTCTCCCATTTACATTATCTCCCCTCATTTTTTTATAGGATTCCACTCAAAAGAACTGATTGTTGGAGCCATTAATACATCCTGTGCCATCACCTGAGCCCTTTTAATTACATTAATCATTGGTCTAATAAAGAGCTGAATAATAACCAATAACAAGAGAGAACGTATAGATGGGACTTCCAGGCAGGGAGAGTAAGTAGGAGGAGCAATTTAGGCTGGAGGAAGAAAGAAAAAGAGATACCAGGAACACTCCAGGAGCCAGTCAGCCAGACTTGGAGGAAGCAATAAAGTAGGACATACAGAATGAAAGAAAGGTAAAAGGCCCCAAGGCAAAATATAGATGAATAAAAACAGGTTAAACTAAGTTTAAAAAGCTACTGGGAGAAGCCTAAGCTAAGGCAAAGCCAAGCGTAGTCTCTGTGTCTTAAGGAAACCAAATGAGTACGAGATCAGGGAGAGGGAGGTCAAAAGATACAGAATGGCAGAAATGCAGGATGAGTGTGACAATACCCAGAGAGGAAGAGATCTGATATACACAATAACCGTGGTTTACATAAATGTTTCGTGTTTGGGATTTTTGTAAAGTAGATTTTTGAGCAAGGGGATGAAATGGCAGAAATGCTTTATCTGCTTCCCCCACAGTGTGTAACCACCTTGTCAAATCCATATATATCTATCAATGTCATAAGTAATTCTCAAATAAAACATTATGATTTTACAAAATGTTTTAACTTCATTTCCAATTCTGAAAAAACCACTGCCACCATTTTTGCATTCCTTCTCCAAAACAGCAAACAAATATACAATTGTTGAAATCAAATTCAGCACCAGACTTTACACTGAAAATACAAGTCATATAAGTAAGACATTACAGTGTTGGGGGGTTAGCTCAGAGGAAGAGCACTTGCTTAACATATGCAAAGCACTGGATTTGAACTCTAGCACCATAAAAACTAAAATTATTACAATAACGCACCCATGTGACACTGTCTAGAAACACAGACACACAAGACCTTTACCTTATACAAGGAGTCCTTGTTTGGCTTTAGCTTGATGCCATGGGCAAGCCTCAGTTGATGTGTAGTCCGCATTCCTGACCAAGTATCTTTTTCGCCCACTGGTTTCAACAAAGACGTTACGGGGTTATAGAAGGCCGGGATGGAAACAGGATACCAAGTTCTCATGAAAACAATATCTAGAAGAGGAGGTTCCAAAAGAAGGTTTGTATCCATCTCAAACAATACACACATTTATGCACATCCCAAGTCACCCCAACATCTCTAGCTGGTTAAACAGTATTGGAAAAAGAACTTAACCAATTAACTACTGCTAACTATCACAAAGCTCTGGGTGTGAGCCAAGGAGGTACAAATTCTGTGTGCATCAGCTAAGTACAGGATACTCCAACTGGACAGAGCCAGAGCTGACTATCCTTCTGAAGATCAAAACTCCTAATCAACAACAGCTAGAATTAATTACAATGGTAACACAAAGAGTTCTTACCACTCATTAGCAACTTGTCCTCAAAGCTGGCCCGGAATGCTCCTTCTGGAGCCCGGAGTGCTTTCTTGATTTGTCCCCTTATTCCACTGACAGTTCGAATGACAGCACCTTCAAATTTGGCTACTTCCAAGGCAGAATTAAACATTCCCTACAAGCAACAAAATAAAAACACTCACATATATACCTTACCAAAACAAAAACCAATTTCAGTAAAAGTGAAATTACCAACATCAAAAGTATACCACTCAATTTTATTTTCACTGAAATAACTCTTTACAATGGAAAAGAGTATTTATGGGTGTGAACTGGCCTAGAGAGCCTTGGCAACCTCATTTTTGCAGTGCTGAGAACCAAACTCTAGGCTTTACAAGCACTCTATTACTAAGTACCTCCCTCTGTATAAAGCACTCTATCACTGAGTACTACATACCTCCTCCATATACAAGCACTGCATCACTGAGTACTAAGTACCTCCCTCTGTATAAAGCACTCTATCACTGAGTACTAAGTACCTCCCTCTGTATAAAGCACTCTATCACTGAGTACTAAGTACCTCCTCCATACACAAGCACTGTATCACTGAGTACTAAGTGCCTCCCTCTGTATATAGTAATCTATCACTGAGTACTAAGTGCCTCCCTCTGTATATAGTAATCTATCACTGAGTACTAAGTGTCTCCCTCTGTACACAAGCACTCTATCAGGGAGCTCCACCTTATGATCCTTATGATCTCAGCTCTGTGTCTTTAATAGAGACTCCTTCCCAAATGAAACTTTCAAACTTCCCTCTCTAAACACTGTGTAGTTGAATGTACAGTCTACTGTAACCTTGTTGTTTGCTGTAAACTGCTTTGTCTACTTTCTACTCAACAATCAGACAAATTTAGGATTTTTTCCCTTATTAACACAGTTTTAAAGTAATAAAACCAGTGGGTGAGTCTGTGTTGGCTCTGGGATAGTCACACTGTAGCTAAGTATCTTTACAGTACAAATCAATATAAATAAAACAAAAATTTCAAAGATCAAAACTTCAAATAAAATTCTAAACTTGTACTTTAGAAGTACAGGAAAATCTGTTCTCTAACCCCATTTGATGATTTCCGGTCAAAACAAGGGCACACGTAGAACACTGTGCAACAAGACCTTCATGTGTAGTGGTATTTTGTTAGTAATCTAACAAATAAAGTTTGTCTGAAGATAAAAATGCAGAGCTAAACCACTAGTTAGCCACACATACACCTAAGCCACTAATTGGTCAGGCAGCGGTAGCCACACCTTTAATCTCAGCAGCTACACTAGTTAGCCATACAAACTGGGTGGTAGTGGTGCATGCCTTTAATCCCAGCACTAGAGAGGAATCTCAGGCGGGTGGAGACAGGAGGACCGTGTATTCGGTCTACAGTCAGTGAGTCTGAGGAGCAGTGCAGTCGGGAGCAGTCTGAGGTTTGGTGGATGGCTCCTTCAGTCTGAGCATTGGTACAGGTAAGAACTCTCTAGAGGCTGGCCACTTCTCTGATCTTCAGCTTTAATCCCAATATCTGTCTCTGGGTCTTTTATTACATTCATGCTTGTGAATAATGTATACATGACACACAGATGAACTTGTAGTTAGACTTAAGTTTCCTACCCAAAGATAGACCCTTGCAAAAATAAAAACAATTCAAAACATGAGAAGAAAATTCAAACATTTCAGGTAAATAAAGAGTATTCTATTCTTTCCTTAACAATGTATAATTTATAGCATATGAATATGTGGATATACAGACCTTAATAAATGAGGTATTCTTGAATATTTTATAAGGAAAACCAGTTAGCTTTAATTTCTTCACAATTTTTATGGATTTATCCAGGTCAAGGACAACTCCAGTGGCAGCAATCCGAAATTCAGGCTAAAAGGAAGCACCAAAATTTGAAAATAATAATAGCAGAAAAGAAAAATGACAATTCTCTGTGATATAATAATGCCAAAATTCCATTCATTTAAACAGTTAGCTACAAAAGACAGAATTTCATTTCTTTACTTACTAGGTGCTTACTTAAGAGTTTTGTTTGCTTGAGAAACGGTTTAATGTAGCCTGGCTCACCAACTAGGCGGCAGAGGGTATCCCAGAACTCTGCCTCCAGCTCTCTGGTTGTAAACCAGGATTTTTAAGTATAATAAGCCACTGCTGGTGACTGGAACATTCTCCTGAGAGTGATTTCATGGTAACAGTTTCACAACAATGATCAATTCAGAACCAAAGGAAAAGGCAAATTCAATTCCAACATTTAAAATTGAGATTTTTAGATCTCTAGGTAGACTGTCTATTATTCTTTTTTCTCATATGTTATATAGAGCTAATAAATGAAACATGCTCTGCCCAGTCAAAGACAACTCTGAACATACTTTGCCCACACATCACCCCTAATGGACAGCATCCTCTAAAGGGTTATGATGGGTCCACAAAATGTACTATAATAATTAGCATCCAGTGAACACTGATTAAATACTGTTTTTAAATATGTCCAAACAAGGCACAAAAATATACAATGCCATCAGTGTCGTTATAATTCTCCCTCTCTCATGACTCCCATACTCTACTTAGGAAAGCCAGGCAGGAATTCCAACATTCAGATGACTGAGGCAGGAAGATTGTGAGTTCTAGACCAACCTGAGCTACACATCAAGACCTTATTAGAAAAAAGTGTGGGGGAGTGGGGAAAAGGGAGGAAGGGAGGGGGAGCAAAGGCTACAGGAAGATACAAAATAAGGAGAAACTAAAGTATTACATATTAAAAGTAGTGGGGTTGGGGGTTAGCTCAGAGGTAGAGTGCTTGCCTAGCCCTGGGTTCTGTCCTCAGCTGGGGGGGGGGGCGGTAGGGGGGAGGATAAAGACAAAAAAAAAAAAAAAAAAAAAAAAAAGATCCCCCACAAAAAATATACAAACAAAAAACCAAGGTAACTGGCACATATTAAAAGTAGCTGATTTTCAACTTAGCTTCATGAATTCAGTTCAGTCTCTAGTTCATTTGAATAATTGATAAAGAATGTATCTCTGATACTTACCATTACACCACTGACAGACTGTATCGCCAAAAATCCAGTTCCTTGTGGGGTGATAGGACCTTAAAGGAAACAGACAAGAAAAAATAGTATACCAACCCCTTCTCAAAGAAACAAATATTTAAGTTGGGGTTTCATGGCAGGAAAAGAACAAAACTATAAGCCTAAATAGTATAAACTGATCTTGTAATTACTATAATCACAATTTACCCCAAAAAGTTGCTCCACAATGCATGTGCTGTGGGGTGTACTTTAGAAGCCTTTGTCTGCCATTGTGGTCTTCAATATAATACAGTGGAATGGTCTGAAACCTCCTCCATCCTACAGAAAAAATAATTGGGTCTCGAGACTTGAGGATTTTCTTATACCAACGATGTTTCTTGAGGCGCATCTGGAGACATAAACATTCAATAAAACAGAGTGTACAACCAAATGACCTGTCTCCAAGCATGCATCGAAGGGCACCCACCTGCACATATCCCACAGTGCCCTCACTACTGCCCAAACCACCCAGAATAATTGGGTAGTGTGGGTCAAAGTTCTGCACGAATTCACAGGGGATGTTTTCAATCTCGATTCGGACATACATTCCAGGACGAAAACCCTCATACTGAACTCTGGTTTCATCTTCTTGATCTTCAAATTCAGCATGATTAAGCTACAGAAAAGACAAGGGAACAAAAACAGAAGCAAAATAAACCCACAGTACCAGTATTCTTAATCAACATTAAAATTAAATTTAAAAAAAAAATACAAAGGAACCATGAACACAACAATTTATGTTTTGTTGTAATAAAAAGTTATATCCACTTCACCGCTATACTTTAAGACATATACCAACTGTGTTTTCTGTTGTTCCAAGTCACAGCCACTGACTCCAAAGGGATCTCTGAACACTGCTCAGCAAATGGTGTCCTGGCTAAACTCTGACTCTCCCAACTCTGTCAATCACTTTATGTAACTTTGCTCATCATCAGTCTTAGACCAGCCAATCCATCTTCCCTTATCACTCTTTGCTGATGGCTGTTTCTGCTTCCAGTCATCTATGTTCTGTTGTTTGTATCCTCACAGCCCTTTATTATAGCTCTGCACTGTGGATAAGGACAAGTAATTACTTGATAAAAACCTTTTTGGAGATAAGAGCTATATAATCCAGGCTAGCCTTGAGCTTCGAATCCTCCTGCCTCAGTCTTCTAAGTGCAGAAATCACAGTTGCACGCTACCATGCTAGACCATAAATGAAGATTAAATACTATTTACAATACAGTTCTTCAGTTGCACTTGTATGTGGCACGTGGCTATGATGCTGGGCACCACAGGAGTCAATCTACAAATTATTTAACCACACCTCTATTCAATGCCAAACTTTTGGCTCCCCCAAAAATCTTCCTTCCGTTACTTTTCTCATTTTTTCAAAGCCTTTTGAGTCCCCTTTCTTCACCAACTATTGTTCCATTTCTGTTTCACTTTGATCAAAACTCTAGTCTCCAGACCATTAGCTGCTTTCCTCATTGCTGCTTTCACCTGCTACTGCATGGGAGCATTTGTCAGTCACCGCAGACCTTCGCCATGCCTTATCCAGTGGTTGCTACCTCCCCTAGTATACTTCTATAGCAATAAGATCTGAAGTATATACTTTGGGCTTCTGGCACACCTGCTCTTTGAAATTTCTGTCTCTTGGCCACTCTTAGCCCTACTCCCCACTTCCACTCACACATACTCCTTACTCCTATTCTCCCTCTCAGCTTACTTCCCAAGCTACGTTATGGCTTAAAGGAGCCTGAGCCCTGTGTATTCAGGCCCTGATCAAACTTTAACACCGCTTGTCTGAGCATCATCACTAACCTAACCAGCTCAAACAAAGCTACACTACCTAGAGGCTTCTACCCTACCGTGAGAACCGACCCTTTCTCTATCCCTACATATATATAATCCACCAGAAAACCTATTGATCCATCCTTTGAAAAAAATTACATCTAGACCTCACCACCTACACTGCCACCTCTAGCCCAACTTAGCTAATCCCTGCATCCTTTCAAAGAGAAGTGATCATGGCTGCCTCTTCCTGCCCAAAACCTTCCATAGGCCCCACATCACTCACAGGAAAACATGGACTTCTTACAACTTTCCACAAGATTTTAAATTGTAAATGGCTTGAAATAGAGATTACAAAAATTATCTCTGTGTTTTTAGTCACTCCTGTCAAAAGTCAATACAGACTGGAAGCCACTAATTTATGACTACTCGGGAAACACTGTCACACTGGAGCCACACTAATCTCTATCCTTCCAATCTTAGCATGTGCTAAAGTCAGCAAAGGAGACACTTCTCATTACATGAAGGTCTAGACGAGCAAAGCTTGCAACCACATTTGCAAGTTCAAAGGAATTCTCAGTTCTTCCACACAGAGGGCAACGCAACTCCCCATCGGCTGTGTGAGCAGCTTTGCATCTCTTCTGGTGAAATCACCACCTCACACGGCCTTAGGAAGGAGCACCCCACCATCTCCTGCACACTCCTCTCCCATCTGCACCTGCCTTTACACGTAACCCCTGTCTGAACAACCGAGATGTTTCGAACTCTCCTGGAAAGAACTCTGTGCACATAAGCCACATAGCTACTCATTCAAAGTAGCAAGTGACCAGAATTTGAACTTACACTTGCACCGTCTCCAATCAACATGCCAGAGCCAAGAGATGCAGCCCAGCACAGCTGCCAGTAGCCGCTCCTTTTAAGGGGCCCCCACTTAGGTAAGCCAGACCATTAAGAACCATTCAGGGCAATTAGAGAGAGGTTAAATTACAGACTTTATTAGCTATTAAGAGAGATAGGCAGTGTGCAGCTACAAGTCAGGGTGTGGACTTCTTGAGAAAGCGAGTCCTATTTGGCTATCCTTATAATGGCAGATAACTTTCTGCATTTTTGTAAGTTACATTTTTTTTCAAAGTATGTAACTTACAAAGTATCAAGATTAAAAATAAAATTTATTTAAGTGAAAATATATACAAGCTGGTTTACTTCCTCATCTTAGAGCCCCTTCTTTAGTGGGCTGCGGAACTGGCTCAGTGAGTAAGAGTGCTTGCTGTGCAGGCATGAGGACCGTAGCTTGGACCCCCAGAACACACAGACAAAGTCAGGCTTGGCCATGCATGCCCACAACCTCAGCTCTGTGGAGGGTGGAGACGGGAGGCGTGAATGGGCTTGGGAACTACAAGAGAGCCTCAGCAGGGTTCAGCAAGAGATGGGTCTCAAAGCACTATGGCAGACAGTACTAGAGGATGACAGATGTACAGAAAACACTTTTCCTTTGTAAATGAAATTTTAAGGTGGTTTTTATGTGATGTACTGCTTAGATATAGAAATGAGCTCAGCTAACACATCTAAATTCAAGGCCACAAACATTCTGGCCTGAAATAAACATAGTTTGAGGGTTTTTAACATTCTTCGGGCATTATCTACGTAGGCAGTTCTGATTTTTTTTTCAATTGTGTTGATGTCTCTTGACTTTCATACAAAATGTAAACTAGATCCCAGGACAAGTGACTTCTCTTCCCATGTTCCCTTAACTTTTCTGTCTTTCTTTACTGTTCCTCAGAAGCAGGGGCCAGTCATTACTGGTTCCTGAGCATGTGGGGCTTTGCTACAAAAGTGGTGCTGAGGCTTTCCTAGTGACAAGAAAAAACAGGCAAGGTCTGAAGAACCCCACCACACATTTTCAACTTGGACAAGCTAAGCAAACCGGGGAGCCGGCCAGCAGGTGGCGCTGCCTCGGCAGGCAGGTGGTCAAGGACTGCTTTCTTACCTGTGCCTGTCTTTGCATTTCACCCTTAAGATCATCGAAATATGTGCTTTCTCCTTCTCCTCCATCGTACTCTGCATCAAATAGCTCCTTCAACTTTCTCTTCTTACTCAGATGCTTTTTCTTGGCACTTTCCTCCTCAGATGGGTCAGTGTCTTCCTTAACGTCTTCTTCTGCATCTTCACTCTTAAATTTCCAGAAAAAAAAGTATTGAGACGCTGATGGAGAACTTTCTTTAAACAAACAAAGCAGTGTAAAAACTCTTTGTTATGGCCCTGAACGAACAGACTTTGGTGCTACTCCCTTCTTAGTCTGGCTGGGTGTGGCAACGCGCATGACACAAGTGTCTCCTAGCCAGAAGCTCCAAGACACTGCTCAAAGTACTGTCAGGAAGAATAAAGAACTCCCTTACGGTGCTTTTAAATTTCATCACTGAATGTTGGCAAAAGAAAGACAAATAAAAAGCACGAACCTGACAAATGACCACAGCGGGGGAGGAGGGTAGAAGAGATCATCCCCAAGCTGTACAAATGAGCAGTTTGTTCATCGGCTGCCACTCTTTAGGAAGCTATCTGTCCATCTTACAGGGAAGTCAAGAGCTCCACTTCCCAAAGCAGATCTCTCAGCATGAAGCTGGCAGAGCTACATCAAAGCTGTACCTGAGTATCCGGGTCCGGTTTTCCCTTGTGCACATCCCCTGTTTCAAGGTCTTCAAAGTCACCATAGAGCTCCTCTGAAAAAGAGCATTTATATTACATGTCTGATCTGTGACACTAGCATTGCCCACCTGCCGACCCTGTGTTCTGCATTCCAAACTTCATCTCTATTATGTCCATCTCTATACATGCCAAGAGTCCTAAACTTACATGGCTAAAAAAAAAACCCAAAAACCAAAACAAACAAACAAACAAACCCAAAACATTTCACTATTACCTTAGGAAAAGTAAATGAACCCAAAAATTGAAACCTCACTATCTTTCATGTCTAAGTAATGAACACTATATGAAAAAATACAAGAGCAGCCTTGAAAGTCAACTCCAAAACAACATTTCAAAGAATAAGTGAAAAGAGATAGCCTGACAACAGCCCACATAAAGGGTCTGACAGAAACCAACACAACACATTGTGTACTGTGCCCTGGGGAAAGCTAAGACTATATAAGTATAGAACCTGGAACAAAATTAGGGCTCAAAACAATGCTGAGCTCATAGGAAGAGTTCATTAATTCATTGTTCATTGTTCACTGTTACAGCTGTAGGTTCAGTTAGACGCTGTCCTCTTTAAAATAGACAAGTTAAGAATGGCTTTGGGAGGGCAATACTTACTGTTATTAAGATACATTCATACAGATAGGAAGCTCTTATTCATGATAAAAACTGTAAAAGTAAGTATATAACTAGAACTGTTGTAAATTTACACACTAAAAAAATAAATAAAATGTAACAGGCAGGGATGGTGACACAGCTCAGTAAGTAGCGGGGGCTGCTGCCAAGCCTGAGGACCTGAGACCCATTCCTAGGACCCACCAACTCCTGCAGGCTGTCTTCTGTCCTCCACACACATGCTAGCCATGTAGCTTTATTATGTCACAAGGGGGATAAAAAGGGACATCATCAGACACTGTTGTCATAACAAAATTCTGTAACACTAGGTCCAGAGCATCTGACATACTTTTCTGGCCTTCAGGGGAACCCGGCACACACACAGTGCACATACATACATGCAGGCAAAGTATTTATACAAGGAAAACTAAAAATACATTTACAAAAATTCCTAAACCCCAGTGCAAAGGTTATACACAGTACTCAATGCTGAATAATGAGAGCACACATACAATAGCCTTCAAAAAAAAAAAAACCTGGTCATTATGAACTACAAAAGGCGATCCAAGAGTTGTCTGAAAAGCATGTTCTGAGGGCATGTGTGCTATCGTGTGCAGGTGTACATGTGTAATACCAGAAATGAACTCAAGGCCTTTGCTTATGTTAGATGAGCACTCTATTGCTGAGATGCATTTCAGGCCTTTTCCATGATAAGAAGGGTCTTATTCAGTTGCCCAGGATAACCTTGAATTTTTTACATTAGCAGTGCTCTGTAAAACTGACAAAACACAAAACTGCTTAAGAGGTATGGTACCCAGAAAATAAAAGCAAAATCTTTCAAGCAAATTAATGCTAGATTTAAAAGTATGATTACAGGTATCCTGACTAGCTCTGTTAACTTGACCCAAGGTAGAGTCATTTTGGAGAGGAGAAGGAACCTCAATTGAGAAAATGTCCCACTAGACTGGCCTGTGGGCAAGCACATGGAGCATTTTCTTGATTGATGATTGCTGTGGGACAGATCAGCTCACTGTGGCAGTACCACCTGTAGGTAAGTGGTCCTGGATGCTCTAATGAAGAAGGCAGAGCAAGCCAGTAAGCAGCACTCCTCCACGGCCTCTGCATCAGTTCCTGTCTCCAGGTCCTGGGCTTGAGTTCCTGCCCTGACAGCCCTGGATGATGGACTACAAGCTGTAAGCTGAAATGAACCCTTTCCTCCCTAAGTTGTTTTTGGTCATAGTGTTTCATCCCAGCAGGGGAAACCCTAAGACAACAAGACTTCATACAGAGTTTTAAAAGAGTAGAAAGAAAGACCTCAAAATGTTAAAGGTCTTTTATGTGTAGAAGAATTTTAGTATATGTTCTTTCTAAAATTTCCTGCTATTAATATGTACCTTTTACTTTGAATTTCCCATGACTATTACTTTTACTAAAACAAACATGTTGAAGACAACCTCCACCCCCGTACATAAAATATCTACATACAAAAGCTACAGGAGGTTTCTCACTTTCCTTTAAAGTCCCTATATAGCAAATAGGTCAGCCAAAGACAGAAAACAGGGTATTATCTGTCAATTCCCAACAGCAATGACAACTGACCAATCTTCAACCTGACTGTAAGACAATAACAAAAATATGAAGGGCATGAGAATGTCTATTAGTAAAGCGCTTGTACTTGCAAGCTCAAAGACCTAAGCTCTCTTCCTAGAATTCATGTAAAACAAAACAAGAGCTAAGTGGGCTGCAATCCCAGTTAGGGGGCTGGATCCCTGGGTCTTGCTAGGCAACCAGCCTACCATACTTAGTGAGGTCAGGGATGTAAGAGATCAAGCCAAAAACAAATAAATGGGTAAGCAGTGTCTAAGGAAGGAACACCACTTAAGAAATGACATCTAAGACTGTCTGGCCCTTGCTCCCAGAGGCATGTGCACACTCAAACATACAAAGAGAGTATGCAGTCCTTACTTACCATCTTCTGCTAAGATCTTGGCTGCATCTTTATCGTCTTCCCACTTTCCCGTCACAAAGCAATCTTTGATACTGTTCATAACCTTACACAGAAAAACCAGCACTTAGTTCATTTACACAAAACAACTATTTTTGAGAAATTATTTTGAGAAATAATATTTAGAGCAATTTGCCTCTAAATATTTCTCAGGACACTTCAAACTGGCCCTGTAATCCTAGCACATAACTATCATCCCAGCACTAGATTTGCTGAGGCAGGAGAATATTCAAGTTCAGTCTGGACCACACAGTGAGCTCTTGGCCACCTTAGAATACACAGAAACTGCCTCAAAAATTAGTAAGAAAGCAAATACACATTTTTGTGATTACATTCATTCTACCTAAGTGTGAGATAATTCCTACAGAATAGCAGAAAAATGTCTGCAAATCATGTATAGAAGGGACATATACTCAGAATATATAAACTACTAAGGGACATGTACTCAGAAAACATAAACAACTCTTATAACTAAATATCCAAACAGTACGAGCAAGTATATAGACAAATAGACATCGACCACCTGAAACAATGCTTGACAGCACTAGCTGAGAAATGAAAATCAATATTATGACACATTTCACACCTTCTAGTGTAACTAAAATAAAAAAAGATTGACAAAAAATAACCTTTGAAGATGTAAATAAACTAGAACCCACAAATACTACTGGTGGGAGTGAAAAATTGTACAGTTGATTTTTAAAGGAATGACGAATAAATATAGGAGGAAAAAAACCTTGTTTTCTCTAATCTTATCAACAGTAACTAACATACTTTTCTTATACAGTTTTGTATATAACACTGAGATAAATAAGATGAGCAGTTACATGATTTTTCTAACTCTATTCCTTAGGATTCAACCAAGGGCTAAATCTTTAGGACGAATGTAGTTAAAGATATAAATAGATAAAGAACATGAAATTGAGGAGAGGCATTGTAGGGTAGATATGGTCAAAATACACTGTACATATATATTTGAAATATCGAAGAATAAATAATTATATTAGGTTCCCTAGCTACCTTTCCTGGGAAAATGACTTCTCCCCTTCCCTGCCCTTGTGCCAACCAGCAGCCATCTGCAAGAGATCAAGCCTAGTTCTAGACTTGAGCCCTCTTCACCTGAACTGCCTGTTAAATCTATTCTGCCCTTTCAGTCTGTGCAGACCAGTTCTATGTAACCTGACACAAGTCATTTGGGAAGAGGGAGCATCAGTTGAGAAAATGCCCTGACTGGATCATCCTACGGGCAAGCCACCCTGGGCTGGTGGACTTGGGTGCTATAAGAATGCTGAGCAAGCCATGGGGAGCAAGCCACTAGGCAGTACTCCTCCTCAGCCTCTGCACAGATCCACGCTTCCATGTTCCTGCCTTGAGTTCCTGCCCTGACCTCTCTGGATGTGAACTATGACATTTAAGGAGAAATGAACCCTTCGTCCCCAAGTTGTTTTTGATCATGGCGTTCTACCCCAGCAGGGGAAACCCTAGTTAAGATGCCACCACCCTTGCTCTCTGTCATCTGAAAACACAAAGGCTAGTTCTAGACCACAGACCCACAAAGCCTCGTTGTTACTCAGACAACACTGCCGATAAGTCACTTCCTCCCTCTCCCATTCTCCACATCCCTTCCTAAAATGGTTACCACGTCAACACCCACAAGCCTAGCTCCAGATCCATGGCCTTTGAACCTGCTTTCTTCAAGAACCATCTTTGACTGGTGAGACACTCCTTTCCTCTCCAGTGAGTTCAAGGATCTCCAGTGAGTTCAAGACCAAATCAAGTTCCAGGACAGCCAGGACTGTTAAACAGTAAAACCCTGTCTTGAAAAACCAAACAAACAAAAAAGAAACAAAACCCAAGGGGATGGACAGATGGCCCATTAGTTAAGAGCACTGGCTACTCCTAAGAGGACCAGGGTTCAATTCTCAGCACCCATATGGCAGCTCACAGCTGTATCTACCTCTAGTTCCAAGGGATCTAGACATATAGGCAGGCAAAACATTAATGCAAAATAAAAAGTTAAAAAAAAATCCATTTATTTATCATTTACAAGAAACTCAGGTTTAAAAATACCACCTTGTAAAAAGATGGAAAAAAGTATTCCCCAAAAAATGGGATCAAGAAGCAAACAGGCATGGCCATCCTAATATCTGATAAAAATAGAATTCAACCCAAAAATAATCAGAATAGACAAAGAGGAGTACTTCATTCTAATCAAGGGATCAATTAATCAGGAAAATATCACATGAACCAAACTCTGCTGCACCCAATTTGGCTCAGCAGCCGAAGTAACCAGCACTGACTGTTCTTCCAAAGGACCTGAGTTCCATTCCCAACACCCACACTGTGCCAAACAACTATCTGTAACTCCAGGCCCATTCTGATGTCTGTCTGCCCCATGGACAAAACACACACACACACACACACACATACAGAGAGAGAGAGAGAGAGAGAGAGAACATCCATAGACATAATTAAAGGAAAAAAGAAAAACACACTAATGACACAGATTAACACAAACCTAATTATTGTAGGTGATTTCAACATCCCACTTTCTCTAATAGGCGAGAGAGAGAGAGAGAGAGAGAGAGAGAGAGAGAGAGAGAGAGAGAGAGAAACTCAGAATTAAATGACATCAAACAGATCTTACAGATACCTACAGAATGTTCCACCCAAATGCCAAACACACATTCTACCCAGCAGCACATGGAAGCATTTCTACAACAGAACACATGCTTGGTCACAAAACAAACCTTAACAAATAGATAAAAACTGAAGTAACTCCATGTATCCTGTCCAATATTATACAATAAAAGTTGATGGCAAACAAAAATCCAGTAAATATATAAATTCTAAATTCATGGAGATTTAACAACTCATTACTGAGAGATGGATAGGTCAAAGAAGAAATCAAGAAGAAACAAAAATATTCATGGAACAAAATGAAAATGAAAAACACATCACCACAAAACCTTTGGGACACATTAAAAGCAGTTCTAAGAGGAAAGTTTAGAGCTCTGAGTGCCCATTAGGTCAGAAAGAGCACAAATAAATGACTTGATATAACTCAAGAAAAACAAACCAAACCTAAATCCAGCAGATGGCAGGCAAGAAATAATAAAAATCAAAGTAGCAATTAGTGAAATGAAAACAACACAAAGAATCAATGACTTTAAGGCAGGATCTCTGAGAAAAGCAAGGACAACAGATTCTTGGCCCAAATAACCAAAGGAAAGAAAAAGGAGAACCAAACTAACAAAATTAGAGGTAAACTGTGAAGCATTACAACAGACAACAAACAAATTTAGAATATTCTAAGGGAATGCTTTAAAAAAATCTGTACTGTTAAACTGGAAAACTTGAAGGAAATGGATGACTTTCTTGATCCATCCAAAGGATCAAAGTTAAACCCTGAGGAGAGAAACAACTTAAACCCACAACCAACAAGGAGACAGAGGGGTAATAAGACTCCTTCTGACTAAAAATGTCCCCACCCAGACGATTCAGGAAAAATTCTACTAGAATTTCAAAGAAAATTTATAACCAGTCCTTACTTAGCAATCTTAAATTATACAAAAACAAATAGAACGATCACTCCCAAACTCATTCAAGGTGCCAGTATTACTCTAGGATCAAAACAAGGCAAATGCCAGATGGTGGTGGTGCATGCCTTTAATCCCAGCACTCAAGAAACCAGCCTGGTCTACAACTCCAGATCCAGGATAGATAGCCATCGATGTTACACAGAAAAACCCTGTTTCAAAAAACAAACAAACTCCAAATAGGCAAATACAACAAAACTACACACCAATATCCCTGATAAACATAGATGCAAAATTCCTCAATAAAACACTAGCAAAACAAATAAAAACACATATGAAGAAGATCATCTATCATGATCAAGTAAGTTAGTTTTATCCCAGAAATGCAGGTATGGTTCAACATAAATCACATAAGTGGACTTAAAAACAAAACAAAACAAACAAACAAACAAAAAAAAACACATGATCATCAATAGATGCAGAAAAGACCTATTGCAAAATCCAACATGCTTTCTTGATAAAAGTCCTAGAGAGTAGGACTGGAGGGAACACATCTCAACATAATAAAGGTTATATAAAACAAACCCACAGCCACCAACACTATCCTAATGGGAGAAGAGCTTGAAGCAATTCTATTAAAATCAGGAATGAGACAGAGCTGCCTGTTCAGTTGGAACCCCTGCCCGAGCTGGGAAACCCCATCTGCCCTACTTCCCCCAACCCACCTGTACTGAAAGAACAAAGGAATGTTACCAAAAGCACAAATGCAACCCGTCTTTCTGACATGGCCAGCCTACCCAAGTATCAGCCCGGGGGCTTAGCTTTTGACCACACTTGGGCGACATCCCAGCTCCTAGCTGGCATGTCATCACCCCTCCTAAGTCTATAAATGCTCCCTACTCTAGGCTGGGCACCACTTCTCTGGTCCCATCCTTTGGGACCACCCAACAAGCCTGTATTTATCTGTTTTCACTCTAGCCCGCTCTGGCCTTTTGCCTCTGCAGAAACCTATCACTGCCCACTACTCCCACTCCTTTTCAATACTGCACCCAAAGCACTAGCCAGGGCACTAAAGCAAGAGAAGGAAATGAAAGGGTACAAGTAGGAAGTCAAAAGAGCCTTATTTGCAAATGACATGAGATCCCAAAAAGTCCCACCAGAAAACTTCTAGAAACAATTTCAGCAAAGTGACGGAGTAAAAAAAAGTCTGTCTATACACTAACAACAAACATACTGGCAAAGACATGGGCATACTCCCATTAACCATAGCATCACAGACAATAAAATACCTTGGGATAAATAAACCTAACCAATGAGACAAACGACCTCTACAATGAAAACCTCAAATCTCTGAAGAAAGAGACTAGAAAGTGAAGACACTTTACATGAATTGGTTGAATTAATATTATGAAAAAGGTCATCCTACAAAGGCTGTTTACAGACTCAATGAAATTCCAATGAAAATAAATACAACATTCTTCACGGAAATAGAAGTAAAATGTTAAAATTCATTTGGAATCAATGAGGATCCCAGAGAAACAAAGTAATCTTGAGCTTAAAAAAAAAAAAACGGGGGTGGGGGGGGCGGCTGCGATGCTTTCACACCAGTAGCTGAAAGCTGAGCATTTCCTTTCCACCACAACTATGGAGTCAAGTCCAGTTAAATTCAGCACCCGTCACTGCTTATTGCCAGAAACACTGATAAGGGGAAAGGATCCGTTACAGTGACAAATATGCAATACCGAATCAGAACATGTTCTTTAATTATGTCACAGATTTGAATGTGGTGGGAGGTGAGGGGTGGTAGGGACTGGGTGTCCACAGGCCACTGGTGTACTTCCAGCCCCAATTCTTCCCAAGCAAACAGACGCTCAGCATTACCTCCTCTAAATCCCAATCGTGAGGAGCCTCCACCAGAAACCGAGAGCAGTCCAGAGAGTCAGCCTTGTGCTTACACTCTCTATCCGGCTGGCTAACACGGAACAGCCCTCCAAGCTCTTCAACGGTATCTCCATCTTCATCTTCGTTATCCTCCATCACTAAAGAGACCACCATAAGAGAAAGGTGAAAATAAAACTTCAATCCTAGAAGACTCCTTGTCCTGAACTAATTAAAACACACACCTTAGAATTCAAGGAACCGTGGTTCCTACTCTTTATAGACATGCTATGTCCCTTGGCCACTGACCCACAAAGAGCCAAAAGGCCAAAAAGCTGCCACTTAAAGTGTCTGAAGACTTATCCTCTTACAAAGCAGCAAGAGAGCTGTGGAGTGAAATACTGGGGGTTGGGGAAGGGAAGCCATTTATTTAAAGGGAAAGATCTTACAGAAGATTTTCTACGCAGAGTTCCCTTAGAACTTCCTGTCACTAAAAATCTGGAGGCAAAATCTAAATGAAAATCAATTTTCTTATCACAGTGCAACTTATTTCTGTATTCTCCCAAAAAGAACTGATAAGCAAGTTTAATAAACTAAAAAAATTAATTAACATGGGCAAAGAGAACACAGGGCTTCTCATTCTCATGGGAGGAGGGGGAGCTTTCAAAGGCAGAAATATGTTCCTAACATTAAATTTAACAAAACAAATCTCGTGAAGGACTTTATAAAATGATATAATGAACAATATTCTCATTAAAACTTTCATGACAACTGAGCAACATGTTATAAGACCAATTTATGGCTGGGTGGTGGTGGCGGCATACAAATTTAATCCCAGCACTCGGGAGGCAGAGGCAATCAGATCTCTGTGAGTTTGAGGCCAGCCTGGTCTACAGAGCGAATTCCAGGACAGCTAGGGATACACACAGAGATCCCATCTTGAAAAACCAATCAAACAAACAAACAAAAAGAACAATTTATGGTCCGTGTGACATGATTATAAACGTCTGCCAAGGTCAATAAAAGGCTCGAAGGTGAGGATGTTTGACTGAAAGTCTGGTGACCTAAGGAAACCCATAAAAGGGTGGAGAGAACCAACTCCACACCTTTGTCCTCTGACCTCCATACATACCCTTGGCATCAGTACTCTCTCACACCGTACACACACAGAGAGTAAGTAAATTTAAAATCTGTTTTTAAAATATCTGGTAAATATATAAAACGTGATAGCCAGAAATAATGGGGGTCAAAAGTATAATCCCAATCTTTTTGCTAATCTCATTTCCTTTTTAGAAAATAATCTAAGAACCTAAAGCACGTTGAGCTCTGAACAGAGTTCTTTACCTGTCCCATAAACCAGCTTCCGAAGATTTGGAGCTGCTTGCTGCTGCCGCAGAAAGGCCTCTGCCGCCTTCCGGGAAAGGTCTTCCTTCCACTTGAGGGCACCTAAAAGACCAACACCAGTTACAACTGCTCACTGGCCTCTGCCTCAAACGCCAAAGTTCACTCATCCTAAAACACACTCATGACACATATAAGTACTTGGCAAATCCAGAGATCGGACTCGAAAATGTAAACATCCCACTGACAACAACAGTTTGAGGATGCCTGGCATTTCTGTGGAGTGTTTACCTGACGTTTCCACGGAGCTGCTATGCTCTTCCTTGTGATCTTCTTCCTCTTGGAGTAAGTTTTCAATGTCACTGGTCTCATCAACCTCCGACTCAAGTTTCCGCCCACTGCGCCCCTGAGGACTTGCAAGCTTCCCTCTGCCGGCCCCTCTGTGTTCTGAGTCTCCCTCCTCCTCCGAACTGAGCCCGCAGCCTTCAGACTCATCTTCCGATGGAAATGCCTCTTCGGCAGTACAGTGACCAGAATCAGAAGTGGTGAGGGCTGCTTTTCTCACTGCGTCCAGCCGGTCCTTACACTGACGAGCTTCGGACAGTCTTGCCCCGCTGTCTCTCTCCCCGGCAGTAGACTCGCCATCTCCGCTGCTTTCGTCTGCTTCCTCTGCCTCCTGCTCTTCCCCAGAGCTCCTCTCAAGATCGTCATCGCTGTCGGCAAACGCTGGCAAGTCTGCCTCACTGTCTTCTTCCTGCTCCTCAAGCTTTGGTCGTTTGCTCCCCCTCACAGTCATGTATTTACAGCTGGTGGTTTCAGCACCTTCCTCTTCCTCTTCATCATCACTGGAGCCATTTTCCGTTTCTTCCCCTTCAGACATTTCTTCATCATCTTCACTGTCTTCGTCTGCAGACTCGTCCTCTGCGTCTCCAAAGATGGCTTTCCGACGTACTCGACCAGTGTTCACATCCACCTGCTTCTCCTCTTTGGGCATCCACAGCCTGTATTTCAAATAAATAAAAACTAATTCAAACTGTACAGGACTTAGCTATTCTAGAAATGTCAACCCACTATGCAAAGAAATGGGAGGCTGAGGCAGGAGGGTTCAAGGTTCTAGCCTGCCTGGGCTCACAGTAAGCTGTGCCCAAATAGAAATTCAAAGGAAAGTGGATTAGGGTAGAGTGTTAGTAGAACTCTGGCCCAACCTGTGCAGAGCCTAGAGCTCATTCCTTAGCATTACTAGACAAACAGCACCGTCATATTCCCAAAATGACAGCACAAAAGAATGATGACAAATAACTATTAAGCAAACTCATACAGCTACCTAATGACACCCTCGCAAACCACTAACAGAACAGGAAGACTGCTAGAAACAAACAAAACAATTTATACTTTAGGACAACTATTCAAAAGGGAAGTTAGTATCTAGCACATCTTCAAAACCTGACTCCAGGCCTAAAGGACAATGTCATCCTGGGACACCTGTTGTGTCAGAAAAAACTAAGCCCATGCTAACAGATGAATGGGGTGTGCATAGAAGACACTCAACACTAAGGGTCACATCTGGGACCATGCAGGCATCAGAGACAAACGACAGTGATGGAATGGCAACACAAAAAATAAAAGCCAAGTCCAGAGTCAGTGGTGATGCAGAAAGCAAGCAGGCAGGGAAAGCTCTTGGTGAAGGAATGCCAGCTGGCCAGAGTTCTCAACAGTGCTCTGTGTGGGGGCTGACTCGTTTTTTGGGTACTGAATTTGCAGAGTAGGCTGACATGGGATGAAGAGATGCCCAGCAGTTCAAAGCACTCACTGATCTTACAGAAGACCTGGGTTCCATTCAATGGTACAGAATTATTGAGATGGTAAAGCTAAATTTAAAACTAAATACAGCTATTCAATGTAGTGCAGTATATAGAACTGTTAAACCATCAATTATAAAAAAAAATATAGTATAACATAAAACAGCTCCTGAGTTAGAAACACAAATAACAAAACAATGGCTATATAAAGAAAATGCTCAGGATATTTAAATTATAAAGTTATTAATTATGTGTATGTAAGTGTATGCCTACAGAGTTTATGTGTACCATGAGCATGTAGGTGGTGGCCAAGGCAGTCAGAAGGTGTCAGAGTCCCTGGAACTGGAGCTATAGGCATTTATGAAGCAATAGATGTAGGTGCTGGGCACTGACCCTGAGTCCTCTGCGGAAGTAGGATAGGCTTGCTCTTAACCACTGAGAAATCTCTCAAGGCCCAGGAATAATGACTCTTAAATGAAGTCTGTAATTTTTCAAGTTATGCTAAGCAATAATGTACTATATAATAAATAATACTATATATAAGCTACCATTTTTGGAATGATTATGAGGCATGAATAAAAACAAAAATCAATGTTTAGCAAGCACCCACTAAGTACAATGGCACATAAGTATACAAGTTCCCAATCCAGGCTGAAAAACGAGCCCTAAAGTGGACAGCTCCTATGGAGACAACATGTGGAAGGCTTTCAGAAATAAGCATGTGCCTTTGGACAGGACCTAAATAAGCAGCTATAGAACTCTACAATTTTGGTCACTAGAAAATATCCAAATGACCTCCTAGATAACTAAAAGCAGTCAATAGAAAAGTTTGCGTTGTATTTGAACAACATTCTGAATACTTCTGTTGAAAACAAGACTCATATTTTACTGTCAGAAAATTCGATGTTATGTAATGTTACATAAGTGAAAAACTGTCAAGAACCACATACACACAGTAAACCAAAGAACCTGGAGTCAATTTCCATCAAAATAAAAACTGTGATGGCAGAATTTTTACTTTAACTTTTTAAAATTAAAAATTAGGAAAGAGCCAGTAAATGGGTCACTGGGTAAAGGCACTCGCCACCAAGCCTGACTTTCTGAGTTTAATTCCTGGAATCCACACAGTAAACAGAGCCAATTCTAACAATCTGTATGCACACAGCATGGACATGAGCACACACATAGTAAAAGTAAAAAATTAAATGAGAAACTTAGAAAAGGGCACACTTACCCTTGATTATCTATATCTTCTGACCCCAGAGGTTTGGAATCAGAAAAAAGTGTCACTCTGCTTGAAGCCATTTTGGCATCGATACTGGCATGGGTGGAGATGAGACTCTGGACCAGTTCATGTGTGGGGCCTGTTTCCTCCTGTCAAAGCCAGGAAAAAATGTGCAAGTGAGGAAAGCACAAGGATTCTGGAGACATGCTGGTTTCGTCATTTCTCAAATTATCCTGAACATGGGCTGGAGAGGGCTAGAGACAGCTCAGCAGTTCCGACTGCATACTGCTCATGCAGAAGACCTGTGAGTTCAGTTTCCAGCACAGCGCCCACACCAGGAGGCTCGCAGCTGCCTCTAACCCCAACACCATAAAGATCTGACACCTCTGCCTCTGTGCCTACCTGGACACACATACATGCATGCATGTATGAAGACAGACAGACACATAGACAAATAATAAATCTTTTTTAAAAAACTACCTTTTAGTTCTAAAAACCCTTCCTCACTGCCTCAAGAAAGAGAAAAGAAACTTCTTCTCTCATAGCTTAGACTTGATCCCCAACACTTAAACATCTCTCAATTCACACAGTCTGTTGACCTAAGACCTTAGCTAGGAAAACTCCAGGTCTCAGCACTACAGCCAAGATGATTTTAACCCAGTAAGATTACATTTCAAAAAATGAACTAAAATTTAAGTCCCCATCACTGCCAAGGCTCAGGGAACACCCTGGAATATGGGGGTGGGGGGAGGTACAGGTACAGAAGCTGGAGGACAGGAATAATGCTCTGTAACGATGTCCTCTGTGCATGGCACGGCCACTGTACTCAGAGACTGACAGCAGCTGTGCTGAGATCACAGAGGAGTCTGTCAACATTGGCACTTGGGTTAGGAGGGGTTCATGAGGCTCCATCCCTCCCTGAGGAGCAACTAATAGTTAATGACTGCTGAGGGGGATTTGTTGTTGCTATGTTTTAATGTGTAGCATGTAAGGTGTTTTTGCCTGCATATCCTCATCTGTGTACCACGTGCATGCCTTTATGCCTGCAGAGGCCAGAAGATGGCATCGGTTTCCCTGGAACTGGAGTAAAAGTCAGAAGTGAGCCCCCAGGTTCTCTGAAGAGCAGGTAGTGCTCTTAACCTCTGTAATACACATCCAGTAAATAACTCCAAACCCGTTCTCATGTAAACACCCTAATTAGATACCCTAATTAAACTCAGCGGGCCATTATAAAAATGACACGCTGAGAAGAGTTTCAGCGGAAGGGAGAGGGGAGACAAGGGAGGGAAGCAAGTGTGAAACCCATCACATACATGTTGGAACTGGTCAGAGAAAGTTTGAGAGGAGGAGGACTTACTGAGGTGTCCAGCAGTGAAGGAATGAGAGAGTAACTGGGGTGGCAATGAGCAAAACACACTATACACATGTGTAAAATTGTCAAAGAAAATTTTCAAAAGAATAAAAGTGCCTCAAATCTCTTACACTTACACACACACCTGGCTCTAACCGAGGGAAGAAGGAAGCTCAACAGGGAAAAGAGGGAGGGCAAACCACACAGGGTTTTTAATAAGACCTCAAGAAATCATTATTTTATATTTACATAAATTATATAATACATGCAAGTACATGTGTACATATTTTACACACCACACACACATACACACACTCCAGCCAGGCTATGTAGAGAGATCCTGTTCCCCCAAAAAAGTGAAGATAAAACAAAATAAAAGCTTTTTAGACCTAGAAAACACTGCAGTTTTCTAGAAGGAAGATGAGCAGGGCAGTGGTACTAACAACTGGGGACTTCAAATCTGAAGATAGCATTTTGACTTTCTGCTTATTACAACGACAAACATTCTTTATGATCAATTCTTTTCATCATAACTTGGATTAAAAGAAAAAAGCGTTAAAAACTAAGAGAGGAACACAATATCTGACAGAGATTTGTAAAGAATAATTAAGAAGCAACCCCTTCTTACCATTGCCTGAAAGCCATGACTACCACCGAGGTCAACATAGACAGCATCTTTGTCATACAGCACACCCCCGACTCCAGAGAGAGGTGCATAGACTAGCTTCTCCTTCTCATTCAAACAGCGCTTCTTTTGCTGTTCTGGAAGAGCACAGGGATCTGGGAGAAAACTGACATCGCTGACGACAAAATCTCCTACGCCTGGAACACAGAACACAGGAAGTGAAGCATTCACTAAACAAGTGTCAACTGCTGGAAAAAACATTCCCGCCTCGCAAGGCTTGAGGCATGACACAGAAAGGCAGTTGACCTTGCTAGCTAGACAGTAAGTGACTGCAGCCACTCAACATTTTGGCAGATGACACATAACTAACTGGGTTATTTCTAAAACCTCCAGAACATGGCTCTGCCATGTAATTTTTCAATGTTGCAGAGGAACAAAAACATCCCAAGAGGTCGACAAATACAGTTTGCTCTACAGTAAGAGAATACCTGGCATGTGAATCTGACTGTTATTTTTCAGGTAGGCTCCGCGTAAATAACCATAAAGAGACACCTTCCGGTCACACTTGATGTTTGTGCGGATGTCCTCAGGGTTTGTCAGATCTTCCATCCTAGGAAAATAAAATATAATCACATGGCAGGAAGGAATGTAAAAAGTACTTCTACTGCTCATCATGTGTTGACCACTCTTGTCCATGGGCCTGGAGCACTGCTCAATGGTTCAATGCTGCCCAGCACATGGCGTTTGGAGCTCAATCTCAGGCACCACAAGAAGACCTGCTCCTTAAGCACATCATTTATAAAACTACAAAAATAACAGAAATAAGGAAGCATGATCCAGAGGGCACTGAGAAAAACCATGACTGCCTCCAACTGGCTCCAGAGGATAGTGCATTCCACAAGAAGGGAAATGATATCCTTATTGGGTCAGGGAAGGGGACAGAACACATTTAGTGAAGATTAACCTCCTGGCCGAGGTTCTTTGGTTTAGCCTAGATTCCTCTAAGGGAGGTATTATAGGCTGAGAAAACAAAACATAAGTAAAACAGAAGAGTTGAGTGACTGGTGCTCTAGGCACTAGGATTATCATCACTGATGCCTCAAAATTTCCCATTTTCCTGTTATCCAGTTCGTTTGGTTTTATTGTTGTTTGTTTTTGGTTTTTCGAGACAAGAGTCTCTCTGTGTGTAGCTCTGGCTGTCCTGAATCCACTCTGTAGATCAGGCTGGCCTCAAACTCAGAACTTAAGACATCCACCTGCCTCTGCCCCTGAGTGCTGAGATTAAAGGTATGTCACCACCACTTGGCTTTTACTTGAAAAGAAAAGAGAGAGAGAAAGAGAGAGAGAGAGAGAGAGAGAGAGAGAGAGAGAGAGAGAGAGAAAGGAAAAGCTAGGTGGTGATGGTGCACACCTTTAATGCCAGCACTCCAAGGCAGATGTAGGTGGAGTTCATGGCCAGTTCATGGAACAGAGCAAGTTCCAGGACAGACCGAGCTAAACAGAAACCCTGTCTCAAACAAACAAACAAACAAACAAACAAGAAAAAGAAAACAAAACACTGGGAATCAGCCAAAGGCTTTGTGCAAGCCCTCTATGCACTGAGCTATATCTCCTGCCCTTAGCTTCACTGTAAATATTTTATAATTATTCACCCTAAAAAGCAAAGCATCTCCCAGTGAGTACACACAACAGGCACTATCACTGATCGTTCTCAAACCTAAAACAGTTGAAAAGAAATACACAGACCAGGAGGAAAAGACTCTCACACTTATATTCTACCTGTCTGCCAGGATGTAAGGATGCGAAGTCTGCCATGTGAGAGGCCTAAATTTCATAACTGTAATAAATCGGCCCAGGTTATGAATCTCTTGATTCTGATACTCTCCATGTACCATTCCAGAAAGGTAGAACAGCTTAGCACCCTAAACATTAAAAAGAAAAAAATAAAAGAGAGTGTCAATTAAACACCTGGCTACCTCCGTCAGGACTTGTCATGTGAGGGTCTCACAATGCAAACTGCTCTCAGTTCAATACTGTGGATCCTGAGCTGGGAAAGGACTTTGTGACCAATGGGCCACAGCAGTACGAGGAGGAACGCAGGCCCCGAACCAGCAAAAATGTCTAAGCACTGCCTTAAACCATGGCATGACCAATGGAGGCTACACTGTCTCATGTGTGTGTTCGGAAGCAAATGAGACACACCAAGAGACCTGTATGAGGCCCAAGTGGAGGAAACGGGCCAAGGACTACAAACACCTGCATTCAGGAAAACCCTCAGTAATTGTTCTTCCTACCGGGTAGACTTCAGTCCAGAACCTATGCTTTAACCGCTTCTTTGTCTTCTTGAGTTGCTTATTATGCTTGAAGGAGTCCAGATGGGTGAGAACTCCCATAATTTTAGGAAAGCCATGTACTTGACAGATGTTTAGAAACTCAAATGTCTCCATTTCAAACCCAAAGCTGGCATCTATAAGCATAAGCACCTAAAAACAGAACACAATTTCTCACAGAAGGCATGAAAATACTCCACCCAGACCAAGAGTCAGCAAGTTATGGCCCATGGGTCAAATCAAGACATACACTTGTTTGCTGAAATATTCAAAAGAATGCCACACACATTATCTTCATTAATATTCATGCTCTCAAAACTACAAAATCATTAGTATTTTAGTCATTTTAATAACATAAGGCTTGGAAAGCTCAAATTGTACTAAGAATAATATTTTATTAATAAGCCCCAAATTAAAAAATATTTATCTTTAATATCAGTATAGTTTGATGGGACTACAGAGAGTGATGGCTCAACAGTTAGAGCATTGGTTCTTGCAGAGGACCCAGGTTCAATTCCCAGCACCACGTCGCAGCTCAAAACCATCTATAACTTCTGGGGATCAGACACTCTCTTCTCACCTTCACAGGCACCAAGCATGCACATGGAACACAGACTCACACGCAAGCAAATCATTCATATACATAAAATAAATCTTTGAAAAAAAAAACATAATCAGGACAGACTGATAACTTTTAACTTTGGAGTCTTTCTGGTCCAAAATAGAAAAATCTGTAGCTGTTTGGCATCTAGTTAAATTAAATACACAGACAGACAGACAATCCAGGATATCTGTCATCCTGTCATTCTAGGTTCAAAGACAGCTAAAAAAAAAAAAAAAAAAAAAAAAAAAAAAAATAAGTAATGTCCACCACCAGTTGTTCCCAAACTCAATTCATGTTCCATGTTTCTCTTGTACCTAGTACTATACAGATTATCCACGGATAAACCCTGACTGCTTCACCCTACCATAATGATGAAGAATGTAATTTTATGAAATGTACAAACTGCTTGGGGTGAGGGTTGGGGGGAGAGTCAACAAGTGTCTTACCCAGCTGTGATCCCCACAGGCCACAACAATGACGACCTGCCAGTCAAGTTATGTTCACCACTCAAATGACCATTATGGTAGTAACCAACTGCTTTCTGATTGAATTTGAGGCCTGTTCCACAGAACTCATGCCTAGCATTGTAAACCTAGTCAAAAGCCTGTGGCTGGGGAGGTCATAGGCTCTAAAGGAGTCTACTACTGGTGTTTTCTTAAAAGGACATGTTTCTACATATTTATGTTTAGCTAGGTATGGTATTGCACACTTTTAATCCCAGCACCTGGGAGACAGAGACAGGCAGATCTCTGAGTTTCAGGCTAGACTGGTTTACACAGTGAGTTCTAGGCTAGCACATAGGACTCATAATGAGACCCTGTATCAAAAATCAAAAACAAAACAAATCCAGAGGTTCTTTTTGCAATGTGTAGCAGTTAATACAAATTTTCACTGATGGTCAAAGTGCTAAGAATAATGACTGTAGAGTGGCCCTAAATAGGACATTGACCCCACTGTATCACCCTCTCCACAACTCAGCAATACTGCAGAAGTCAGGGTGAAATGAATGTTAAAAGTCAGAAGATGGAGAAGAACTCACTCTATCTGTGATTACCCGGACAAGACTGAGTCTATCACCATTCCCTCATGCATGGGGTTCCACCCCACACTGAGGCTCCATGCAGTTAATGGATTCTGGGAGGGGCACAGGCGATAAATTGCCAGTGTTCCAATAAATAACCAAACTCACATGAGCTTCCATAATTAAACACAGTAAGTCAAATAAATCACTAACTAGCTAAATATAAAGATATCAGCCAAGCACTCAGAACACAGAGGCAGGTGGATCTCTGAGTCTAAGGCCAACTTGGTGTACAAAGCAAGTTTCAGGTCAGCCAGAAATACACAGAGTACATAGGGAAATCTTCAAAAAAAAAAAAAAAAAAAAAAAAAAAAAAAAAAGAGAGACAAATGGGAGTCTCAATTTCATCATATGTAAAGTATACGTAATACCTGAATGAGAACATGAGCTAAAGTTAGAGAAATCTACTAGTATAGTGCCTAAGGAAAGTTCAAGAAATGGCAGGCATTGTGAAAGTAAGCATGAGTATACATGCATGTATTGATATAAGCATGCCATGTATAATCAAATATTAATTTTGTTCATTATTCTCTCAACCCTATAGTTTTATCTAGGTTTTATAATGTGTTCCTCATGCACATTCATTTTTCTGATACTAACAGTATCATAATTTCAACCACTTCTACTCTACCTTTCCTTAATAAACACAGTGTTTCCCTGCAAATGAGATAAACAACCTATCCCACCTCATACTCTCCATCATGATCCCAGGTCACCTTCAATCACTTACCAGATCTGCTACTTTAGCTAGATCAATCATTACATTGATGTCACAGCCACATTCAATAATGGTAAGTCTGCGCTTTTTACCTATAAGAACAGAAATGAAATTTTTATCTTTTAAAAAGCTTGAAAAAGCTCTATCATCAACTATATAATGATTGTGTTTTTAACTGCACTCAGTAAAATATCACACACCTCTATAGGAATGTGATAGTTCATTTTTATAGCCAAAACTATCAAACTAGTATCAATTCCATCCTGGTTTCCTTGCATTGGTCTCTCCTTAATTTTAAAATACACCAAATGCACCCAGATATATAAAAGTATTAAAAAATGTATAATCCTAGATGGGGTTTATAATGACCATGATCCTGCTGAGCCACAGGTCACTCTCTATCTCCATCTCAATTTGGCTAAAACATCATCAAACCTAATACAACAGGATATTCGTGGGATAGCCATATGTTTACTACTATATATAGAAATATCCCCAAACTTAATAAACCAAAATGTTCATGGAACAGTAACTTGCCCAGTTAAAATATAATGATTAAGGATATCCCAAAAATAAGCAATGTCCTATTCCATTACTACTGTAACAGGGCACTTGGGTTTCTACCATTACCATTTGAGGAACTGACTTTATTTTCCCTCACTTAAGCACAGAAATCCTAATCCCAGCACTCGGGAGCCAGAAACAGGTGTCTCTCTGGGAGTTCAAGGTCAGCCTGGTCTATTTAGCAAGTTCCAGGGGAACCAGAGCTACACGGAGACCCTGCTTCAAAAACAGAAACAAACAGAAAGCACATAAGTTCTCATAAGAGTAGCTTCGAGAAGAAAAGCAGGTGTGCATGGGCGCTAACTGATTGTAAAATGAATGTGCTCACGAGGGGACCAGTGCTAAGCCATTTCAAGAAGCACACTTGGCAAAGTTAACCAGTCAGACTAAGCTGGTATACATCAACACTGTTATGTCTAAGAAGTTACAGGCACTCAGTAAAAGCAAGTACGTGGTAATGTGATGTAACCGTATTGGTATTATATTTTCAGTTTGAGCAAACGAAACTCAGGTATGTTATCTCCTTCAGGCAACAATTCTTAGCCTGAAGGCAGCACTCCTTACCTGACACAATTGTCACAGGGCCTCTGATCTCAGTCAACTTTTGTCTGGTAAAATTCCGAATGAGGCACCGTATCAAAGTGCTCTTTCCAACTTTTGGAGGCCCCATCACCACTACCACTATTGGTGGGGGTTCTAGCGGGGTTCGGTCAACCACTGGAATGTGATGCTTTTTTGTCTTTAAATCCTGAGTCCTGTTTAAAAAAAAAAAAAAGTTTACTTCCAGAACACAAAAGACCTTAACATATTAAAGTTAGATTTTATACAGAAGAGATAATACAAGAATACAATTAACTTTAATTTAACTGGTTAACTTCTAACCACCAAAATCTATTCTTTAGTAAAGATAAAACAGATGACTAAAAAATAAAGCTAATAATCAGAGTGGTTTGACATTAAGAGAATAAAAGACAAAGATGAAGATAGTATATGAAACAAGTAAAGGCATAAATTATATGAGATAAAGTAAATGTTCTATCAATCAACGGGCTATTTAATTTCTGCCTTGGACCTGTTTTCTTATCCACAGAATTGGGATAAGAATAACTCCTAACCTCTTAATGCTGTTGAAAGAATTTAATTCAGACTGGGCAGTGGTGGCACACACCTTTATTCCCAGCACTTGGGAGACAGAGGCAGGTGAATCTCTGTGAGTTTGGGGGTCAGCCTGAACTACATAGTGGGTTCCAAGAGAGTCAGGACTACATGGAGAAGCCCAATTTTGAAAATGCAAAACAAACAAAAAAACTTAATTCAGTAATGTTTAACGGAAACTGCTGGATATATAAATGTCTCCCTAAATATGGCTATTTTAGCACTTTACATTAAATGAAGAATATAGGGGCACCACCATGCATATTGCCATAGATATTTAAAATTTGCACAATTTTTCTGTGAACTGATATAAATTGGAGGGGGAAAAAAAACAAAGGGCAGATGTTGGAGGCAAAGTCCTTCTTTGGCTGGAGTTCTAAAATGTTAGGAAAAGTACTAGGGTGTGCCTAGGTCCTGAATTAGACTCACAAAACCAACTGCCATCAGAGAGAGGCTCCTACCACTTAATGAGATGGAAGAGCCACCAACCCCCCCCCCCCCCCCCCGCGCTAATCACACCTGTGAAAGGACCGAGCCATCCGCACAGCAGACTGAACTGCAAAAGCTTTAGGATTTCTCTTCCGGGCATCCTCTTCATCTCCAAGCTGTAGATCCTGCAGGTATCGTTTCTTCTTCTTCTCAGCTTTAGGCCCACTGTGCTTCTTTCTGTGTTTCTTGTGATCCTTGGCTTCCATGATGGCTATTTATCAACTGTGAATAAGTCTTAACCTATATGGAACAGGGTGGCATGGTGGTGGGAAAATATTATAATCAGGGCAACACGGGGCGGGGGGAGCAGTAAATTTCATTTGTTTATGAAGTAATGATATCGTTGTTCTCTGTATAGAGGTAGAAGCTGCTTAACCATCTTCAAATTCATTTCCTCCTTATGCCATAAAGTAGAAGAGTTACCGGCACCAATATTATCCTTTTTATTATGTTTTATGTATCTTAAACTATCCTCAGTGTTCATTTTTGTAATGACAGAAATATACCTATCGATGGCTCTCAATACGGTAGCCATCAACTAACTACACGTGGTTAAGAGAATTTCAAACGCACCTTGGGAAACTGAAAAACAACCTCAAATTTTAATTAATTTTAAACGGGAACAGCCATATATGGCAAGTGCCTACTACCGGACAACTCAAGCCTGGCCATTCACTGAACTAAGTGGCTTTCTAATTTAAATGAAAACGAACATAAAACTTTAAAACATCGCAACAGTGCTGGACAAACCCGTCTCGCAGCAAGCGGAGGAAGCACATTTTTCTCCCCTGGCGTGCTCTCCTCTTTTTGCTCGGAAAAGCTCACCCAAAAGAGCAGGGTAAGACCTAGGTCACTAGCTGGAAGGATCCCTCCCCACGTCTCCTCAGGGTCGGGCGCCGCCCGCACTCCCCGGAGCACAGATCTGCGGTTGGGAAACTTGCCTTCCAGCCCAGACGCGCGGCTGGGGATCAGCCTGTCGGCGGCCTGAGGACCGATCTCGCCGGGAACCAGACTGCGCGTTCGCAGAGTCGTCCAAACCCACAGCCACAACTGCTCCAGCCGGCAAGCACGACACCGGAAGCGGAAATTGTCCTTCTCACACACCTACCGGAGGGAAACAAATGAAAGAGAACAAGAGATCCGCGGACGGACGGCTTTCAGGGGAAAGCCGGAAGTAAGTTCTTGATTGGCTGAGGGTGGGTGCAGGCGCGCTTGTAAGGTTTCGCACTAGCTCCGCTCTCGAACAAGATTATAGGGTAAACTTCGCTCGCTCCTGCCCCTGACAGTCTAGAATCTGCGTCCTCAGCCAGAGCAGCCCAGCTGCAGGACTCCCGCAGAGGAGAGCTGCGCACGCTGACTCCACGCCAGGGGTCCAGGCGGCTCTGTAGCCTGCGCTGAGAAAGCCAGAGGGCCCTTGACTCACTGCCAGTCCCCACCTGAGAGCTCAGAACCCCACTGCCCAGGGCTAGTCCAACAGGCTACAGCTCAGTTCTAAATGTCAGCACTTAGTATGCTTAGATTCTTCAGCTCTTTAGTGCCCTCTCTTGCCAAGACTGACCAGGGACAAACCGTGTTTCTCCATGCTCCTGGACAGGGCTTTTTCTCAAGAAAACAACGCCTTTTACCGTTTTCTTGGTGCTCAGCCTTGTATTCCCAGGGCATCTTCCCGTCCCACCTGAAGAAAAGTCCATGAACCCCCACCCCCCCCCCCAGTCCCTATACTATAACTATGCCGGACCCTAAACGCAGCCCTTATCTCGAGAAGAATGAGAAATATTGCGCTATTGGTTATTGCGCCAAATATGAGTGGCTGTGACCCGGGAATATTGATTTAGGTTCCTAACAAATAAAAGGTCCATACAAAACACAGCTCTCACCTCAAAGGCAACAAGAGCTTATTGTTCAATTGAATAGTAGTGATAATGGGTTGCCTCAAACTACCATGTTTTGTACCTTTCCGTAGCATATTAACACAAAACATCCTTAAAGGTTTATATGAAAACTATGAAACAAAATCAAAGGTTTAGCAATTTACAGTCTGTAAGATTTGCACTCTCCCGGATCTTTTGACCACTATCACCCAACAATGCCCTGATTTCAGCAGGAAGTAGTTATAGGAAAGATTCTCTTGAGTTCCAGACCAGCCTGGTGTATAGAGCAAGTTCAGGACAGCCAAGGCTACATAAAGAAATCCTGTCTCGAAAAAACAAAAACCAAACCAACAAACAAAAAGAGCAAACTAACTAATCAAACAAACAAACAAAAAACCCTCTGGACACTTTATCTTTGCATTTTGCAAATCCTTTTAAAAGTCAATGTGCACTAAAAATTATAACTTACCCATATTTTTTTTCCAGGACTTTTTATCATGAGTGGGCTTTGAATTTTGTCAAACACTTTTTTTTTTGGTATCAATTGAGACAATGATGTTATGTCTGTGTTTGGGACAATTTATATGAGGTATTACATTACTAATTTGTGCATAAAGAGCTGTCTCAGCATCTCCCAAATAAAACCAAGTTGTTCGTAGGGAATGATCTGGTTTGGGGGAGGGGGTTGTATAACTTTTGGTGATTTAATAGTTGTATACAATGTACTCTGATTATGTATACCACCCATGATCTTCTGTTGTCCCCCTGCCTCTCCTACTGAATCCTTTCTTCACAACTTCTCCTCCTTTTACACTTTTTGTGCAGGACTTACAAAGGTGGTCAGTTTCCACGCACTTATCCTTGCTCTTTGGTCCATAGTATTCTTTTCCTTATTTTCTATAGGAATAGCTGCTGACTATATGATTAAATCAGTGGAGGAAGTCCATCCCAGGCTGGCAGCCAAACTTGGCAGTTTCTCCTTGTGTTCTTTGGAGACATGAAGAGTGAAACACAGACAGGGTTGTGGATTCTTGCTCTAGAGAGCCACTCAGGTAATGCAATGTGCAGCAGAGTCAAGACTCTCTGCAAGCGGCATTGAGAGACTGCTGCATGAAGGAAGAAAAGCTGGATCATGGTGAAGACTCCAAAATACTGGGCATGTCAAAGCAACAAGACATCTGCCAAGGAGAACTGTACACAGGAAATGCAGCCAGCCCAAGAGAGAGATATAATGTTGAAAGCAACAAAGCAAGAATGGAAAAGTGATCCAAATCCTTTCAAACTGAAGTCCCAGGTACTGGGCACACAGAGCTATGGGATCTGGGATTTGCCCTACTTGTTTTGGGTTTGCTTTGGTCTAGTATTTCCTCACTATGCCCCCATTTCTCACTTCTGCAAGGGAATGTACATTCGGTGTCATCATGGGTTGGAAGTATGTGATTTGGTTTGTTTTGTTTTTAATCTATAGGGTGGTCACACATAAGAGATTACCTTAAGTCTCAAAAGAAACTTTGACTATTTGAATAGTGTAGCTGTTAAAGACTATGGGGTCTTTGAAATTAGACAGAACACATTTTGTAACATCACGAGACAGTCAAATGCCTGTAGGATCCAGGAGCCAAATGTGCTAGCCTAAATGGCAAATTCCCCATAGGTTCATGTATTTGAACACTTGGTCCACGGTTGGTGGTTCAGTTAGGGTATTCCAGGCACAGAAAATGAAACACCATGTTCTCTCATATGTGAGCCATAGCTTCAAATTGTCTCTTATATCTAATTTGAAGTGCATTTTGTGGTGATATATTTGTTTATGATTTAATAAAGCTACTAAAGATCAGAGAAGCAAAGCCACATCCCATTAGCTCTACCTCTACAAGAAATGGCTATCTTGTCCTCAGAGTACCTGGAAAATAAATCTCCAAGACTGACTACTGAATGTCCTGCTGCTATCTTACATACCTCTCTAGAGCTGGAATTAAAGGGATCCCAAGTGCTGAGATCTCCTTCATGTGAGTGGTTTCTCTTTTAGACTGATTCACTCTCATGTAACCCTGGTTGGCCCTGAACTCAAAGAGATCCATCTGCCTTTGTCTCCTGAGTCCTGGCATTAAAGGTGTGTGCCACCACTGCCCAGCTTCTATAGATAACTAGTGTGGCTGGTGGAATTAAACGTGTTTAATCACCATTGTCTGGCTCTATGGCTATGGCTAGCTTTGCAATTTGATCTCCAGTGGCTTTACTAAATCATAAACAATATATCACCACAACACATGAAAGCCAGGAATCTACTAATAGGCCATAGTAGGATTAGGTCCTTACTGTACAGGGGTGGGGGGAGTTCATAGATGTATTAGTTAATACATGTATAACAGTTGTAGTACTTAATTTTCTATTGTTATGCTGAAATTCCATGACCAGAGACAACTTAAAAAGATTTTATTCCAGGAGACTAGGATCCATAATAACCAGGAAATCATGTTGGTAGGAACAGTGGTTAAGAGATAACACCCCCTGCACCCAGGAAACAAAGACCAAGAAGAGGGCACTGTAGTCTTTCTCTGTCCTGCCAGCCAGTTCCCAAATAATGACACAGACTTATTAATTATGAAAACTCAGCCAATGGCTAAGGATTCTCCCTAACTAGGTCTTATAATTTAAATAAATTTAATTATATTAATCTACATTCTGTCACATGGTGTTACCTCTCTTTCATCTTTAACCTCCTGGTTCCTCTCCATTTTTCTTTCCAAAGTCCTCTCTATCCCCAGAAGTCCCGCCTGGCCTCTTCTTACCTACCTATTGGCCATTCTGCTCTTTATTAAACCAATTGGAAGATGCCTTGACAAAGAAACATCTTCACAGGGTAAACAAATATTCTGCATTTTTTGTCTACATAAAAAGGAACATGTTTAACTCTAACACACCAAAACTATACAGTAAGAAAGATTATTAGGTAAGAATTACGTTTGCAATATCTAATCCATTTTATTTGGCAAATTGGGAGAAATTACTTCTTTATCTATCCTATCTTTGTGAGTCCAAAGTTTTATACCTAAATCACTTTCTATTATAAATTGTATTACTATCATAAAAATATCTTTTTACACCAAAAATCATCCTTTTAGATAAACAACTTAAGGTTTTATGTTTCTAAACCTTATGCACTTTACACCTCTTTTTAAAGTTTCTTTTATGAATTTGGTAACAATGAAACTGTAATTATATAGTCTTCAACCCTATCACTGACCTAAGAAGGATAAACTATTATCTGAGTAAACTGGAAGTGCAGAGCAAACAACTTCCCAAACTAAGAAACTGCAGAGAAACTGGCTGCAACACTGGGGCATCCACCTTCAGCCTACAGACCTAGAATATCTGACAAACTTTTTGTGGAGCAGTAATTTTGAAGGACTTCCCTACCTTGTCTTGGCAAAGTTTGGCAGTTGCTTTCTTTTGTGTCCAATTTGGACAGCATACTGTCAGCAGTTGAGGCAAGGGCAGTTTCTTTGCCAAGTAGATAACCTTGCCACAAATGAAAGCAAACACCATATAAAGCCTATCATTCTCTTTTGAAGTAAATTGGTGCTGCCAGAAGCAGACAAGTCTCACTTTCATGAAAAGCCTAATGCTATTAGAACTTCTTAAATGCCATATTCTTTAGGTCTCTGAAGTGTTTGAAGACTATCTATCTATCCACCCATATATATGTATATGTATTCTTTGTTTGAACTTGAAAACATACCTAACATGACTACAAGATGGATTGTCATAAATGACTAACTCCTTGTCTGCATTTTTAATTATTCTAAATAGTTTATAATAATAGCTTTCAAAGACTAGAACATTACATTACATTTTAAATGAGCTGCATAGATACGATACCTTACAGTATATAAAAAAAACTTAAATTTGTATCAATATACAAAAATACCTTACATATATACAGTATAACAAAAATAACCTCAAATTTATACCTATATATAAAAATCCACACCATTGTAAAATTATTGAGGCTAGAAGTTGTTTTTTTAGTTTGAAATTAGATTCAATAATCTATCCTTTTATCATATAATTTCTATATCCCCCTTTCATCTTTGCAGAACAAGATCTCTGAATCTGATCTCCTCTGCTTAGTTTAACCTGACCATGACCAGTAACAACTTACAACCATGCTCCCTAAATGATGACAAACATTCCATAACCCATCAATTAACTAAAGCCTGCCTACTCTACCTCTAGGGATTGTAGGCATCCTGTTCCTAGACTATGTCCTGTTGTCTGAGGGGACAGCATCTTTACAGGACCCTGAGAAAATTGGGATAATGGTTAACTCCTAAGAAGAGCTAGATGTATTACTTTTTGTTTAGTCTCTGTGTAACAGGAAAGTGCAGGGCTTATCTGAAGTCCTAGATGGAATAGTCCATGAGGATGGACCATCTCAACTAGCAGCTTTGAAGATGTTTTGAATGCAGAATTTTAAAGAAACTATAGCAGAGACATCCTGAGAAACTGGATTACCTGGGCTACTTGTCATCACTGAAGTCCCTATTTTTCTGAAAACACACAAACTTTTAAAGCTAACATATGTAGTTACATTAACACAACTAAAGAACATAAATCAGCTACAGATGATTTTTTGTGTTTTATGTTTGAGAAGGTAAAAGTCATCTGTCAACTTTGTAAGTCTATTTGGATTGTATAACCAGACTGTCATGAGGATTGTGTAGCCAGCAATATTTATCATGTCTCATCCAGCCTCAAAGCTGTTCCCATGCACAGGGATCAGCATATATGTCACTTATCATGGTAACCTTTCTTGACTTTTCCCCCTCATGTCTGTAGCCAATATTTTCAGGAGGTCTCCCCTGGTTTTGAAGACAATCACAGCTTTTTGTTTCCTGTTTCCTGGGGGCGGGGGGAAGAAGCACAACCTCCCCCAAACAGTACATTTTTTTCTGACTTCCATTCTAAAGTTAAGACATCCCTAAACTATATAGGCTGTTTAATTCAGCGGTCCCTTCCACAATCCAATGTCTCTCAGCAATTGCTGTTTTCTGTTCATTAGCATAAAAAATCAGAATTAACAAAGCACCATAAAAGGTCCAAACTCCATGTGTTATACTATTTCCCATCTTTATGTGGCTTATCCTTTTTATATTAATTTACTCTTTTTAAAAATACTTTGATTTATATTTTAAAACTATTTTTATGACTATCTGTATCTGATTTGTTTTCTTTCACCCTCACCTAAACACATTTTCAAGCATTCTGTATCTAATTAGAGGGTTTTTTTTTCTTCCAATCTGGACCTGGCTTTACTGTTCATCTGCAGTGTTCTCTGACAATGTGAGCCAAACTTTAAACTACTAGGCTACTGACACATGGCTCTGGTGCCTAGTTCTTCCACCTCAGTTCTGTGAGAGCCTAGTCTCATGCCTTTGGCAGGTGTTCACATGTGTGCCAGCATCCTCAAAAACTGTTGAGAAATCTTGATGTTCACAGATTGAAGAATGAAATTAGATCCACATATGTATCACCTTACACAAAAATTCACTACAAATGAATCAAAGACCTTGGTATGAAACCTGAAATGTGAAACTGCTAGAAGACACATGAGGGTTTCTGAATAGGACTGCATTTGCCTATGAATTGTGGCATCTTTAGGATGTGATCCTTGATGGACAAGTACTTCATCGGAGGTGGGATTTGCTGATTTATAGTCATGCCTTGCTGTGGAATACTGATTGGTTTAATAAAGAGCTGAATGACCAATAGCTAGGCTAGAAGAGGTTAGGTGGGACTTCTGGAGGCAGAGAGAACTCTGGGAAGAAGAGTATTTTGTCATCTTTGTCAAATACCAGATATCTATAGTTATGTCTTGTATCTGTGTCTTCTATTTTGTTTCATTGGTTTACATGTCTGTTTTGTGCCAGTACCATAATATTTTTTGTATTGCTATAGCTCTGTACTATATCTTGAAACCTGGGGTGATAATCCATCCAGAATTGTTCTTTCCCTCATGATTCCTTTGGTTATGTAGGGCCTTTTGTGCTCCCATATGAATTTTAGGATTTTTTTCCTTCTATTTTTTGAAGAATATTGTGGGAATTTTGATTGGGATTCTACTGAATCTATAAATTGTTTTGGTAGAATAGTCATTTTATAATACTACACATAATTATTAATTACTCAAAATATTAATTATACCAATCCATGAACATGGGAGGCTTTTCATCACCTAGTGTCTTACTCAATCTCTTCACAGACTTCAAGTTTTCAATGTAAAGGTCCTTTACCTACTTGGTTAGGTTTTATTTTCTTTGAAAAAGCATCCATCCCTACATCAAAAAAAAAAAAAATTAAAAGGAATTTTTCCCACAAACCACTGCACAGAATGTTAGCACATGGAGAAGTGATCTGTTATCAGCTGGAATACCCTAATAACAAGCAAGAAACAGGTGTTGTTGAACATGATACAAAGTCCCAGAAGAAGATAGTGTAGAGGGCTAACAGCTCAGTGACATCATACCTGAGTCAGCTTTTTGCACCGTGTGCACTGTCATCTTCGGGTCATTTTCCTTCCAGACGACAGACTATATGCCAGCATCATATACAGGTGTAAATAATCCCATCTAATGAAGGAAGCCAAATGAGGTCATGTTTGGTTTATTAACAGACAAATCAGGATCAAGTACTACACTTATAGGACAGAATGAAGCTGCTGCTACTATGGGTCCAGCTGATACAATGTCACAAATTCCACTGCTGTTTGTTCCAAAAGGGAATGAGAACTAATCTGCCAGCCACATGGGCTGCCATGGCTTGCTCTCAGCTTGCCTACACCCAAGAAAGCGTCCTTCACCTTGCCCTGTCCTTTTGTTGGGGTATTCAGATCATGTACCCTCTACTGAAAACTCAGCCCTTAGGGGCTTCTTACCATTGGCTAATGGACTGATGACAAAATTCCTACAACACGCATCCCAAAAGTTATCTCTTTTCATATCTCTCATGTTTTCTCATGTTATGACAAGATCAATTGCAGTATTACATAGAATTCTCTAACTTCAACAATTGTCAGAATGGAGTTGTCATCATGGTTTGCTTTGACAAATCTGAACTTATTTTCCAAACAATCTGTGGAGGAGAAAAAAAGAGATAAAACTCAACTCAGCAAAGAAGGTGACCAGCATCTCTTAAAATACTGATCAGTGTGTTTCCAGGATGTATTGGCAATAGAACAGAGGAGGTAGAGACACAATACAAATATATAGTTACAGAATGACACAGAACTATGGTTACATGCAATCATGCCTAAATAGATAAACAATGAAATAGCAAGGGTACACAATGAACATTTTATTATACACTACCATATTTAATTTTTAGAATGCAGTATTACCATTTACAGCTCATATTAAGTCATGTAAATACCATTTTTATTAACAGCATTTATATGACTGACACAGAGGTAGCTAAGAAAAACCCTCAGAAATATAGTTTGGTTTCTTCACCAAATGAGTAGTTTGGTAATAATGGCCATACTTATCCATGGTCCAGAATAGTGAAAAGTATGTGATAATGGTGTGTGTGTGTGTGTGTGTGTGTGTGTGTGTGTGTGTGTGTGTGTGTGTGAAATAATATCATGTGACTCATGTACTGGACAACCTGTCAAGAGAATTACTGGTATAGTGTTTAGAGCTGGAAATTCTGAGGAAATTAAGACTCAAACCATCTTTAGGCTTTTTTACTTTAGAGGCAGTTTAGTAATGATGGCTGTAGCCGTTTACTTGTTTTAGGAATAGAAAGAAAGATGGGTATTTTGTACTTTAAATCTGTCATATAATTCATATACGCACAGCTTCTCTGAAGAAATCAATTCCCTGACACATAGATTGTCAGTTCCACAGTAAATACTCTAAGACCAAGCTGCTAACATGAGAGTACAAAGGGCACATGGTAGAGTCTGAAAGAGATATGCACTCTCAGCATGTAGACCAATGGTATACAGCAATGGCTAACAGTGAAAGACAGCAAATTAATAGGAATGATGAGTGCTATTTATTTCCTTTGCTATCAATATAATTTAACTGTAACTTCATGTAATTGTAAACAATCTATTCACAAAATTCCTGAAATTTTAACAATTATAAGCACTTTTAAGTTGATGTGAGTTGCCTTTATGACATCACCATTTGAGTATAGGTGATAGGGAATATCCTTCTGTATGCTGTGAATATATGCTTCTCTTACTGGTTGACGAATAAAGCTGTTTTGACTAATGGACAGGCAGGATGTAGCCAGTCAGGAAGTATAAGCTGGGCTTCCAGACTAGGAGAAGGCTGGGAAGAGGAACGCAGGGAGTGAGCTGAGGGAGAGAGGCCATGTAGCTGCTGAGGAAGCAAGAGGCTTGGGAATTCTCTGGAAAGCCAAGACCACAGGGAGATATTTAGATTAATAAAAGGGTTAATAATTAAGATAGAGCTAGCCAATAAGATGCCTGAGCCATTGGTCAAAGGCTTTATAATTAATATAAGCCTTTGTGTACTTATTTGGAACTAAATGGAAACAGGACCAGGTGGGACAGAAACTTGGTCCACATGTGGCACCCAACGTGGGGCAAGAATTTCCATGTGAAATATAAGTACATGCATATAAATATATTTACATATACAAACATATAGACCCACATTCACACATATGTCCATAAACATACATAAACTTATCCACCTAAAGTCACTCATGATACTTAGTATGGAAAGTATACCATAATAGTTATTATACTAGGGGTTCATATTTTTTCCCTCACATCCTTATTGGGTTCCAATACATAAATCAAGTACTTCCTAAATTACATGAATATTACATTAGCATACTCACACAAGGTCTAAAAACATCAGATGTTCTTTACATATATGTTTAATGCTATTGTCACTCACTTTTAAGTCCCATACTCTTACGAATACAAGTAAAATTAATATTATCCATTGTATTTAAAATACAATTTTGAAACACATTTGGAAGACATTACACAATTTATACTCTATAGATTTTTTTAATCATATTGTTTATATGAATGATTTCCCTTCAATACAATCTTTCTAATCAAAGTTTTTTCTTTCTTGAAAGCTTTCATGTACTTCCACAAAATGGCATTTTCTAGTAGTCTGTGGTATTCTTTGGCAGTCTCTAAGCTCATTTTTAAAACTGTACAACTGACGTGACAGGCATAAGAAAGGTCAACATTCAGGAAGCTGCAAGGGCCTTCATCCTGGTGTGAATTCTCTGGTGCTTGGTGAGCACTGACCGCTGACTGAAGGTCTTCCCACACACACTACACTCATAGGGTTTCTCCCCCGTGTGAGTTCTCTGGTGTTTAGTAAGAGCTGATTTTTCACAGAACGTTTTCCCACATTCATTACATTTGTAGGGTTTCTCCCCTGTGTGAGTCCTCTGATGTACAATCAGGTTTGACTTCACACAGAATGACTTCCCACATTCACTGCATATAAACGGTTTCTCCCCTGTGTGTGTTCTCTGGTGAACAGTGAGGGCTGACCTGTGGCAGAAGGACTTCCTACATGCATTACATTCATAGGGTTTCTCCCCTGTGTGTGTTCTTTGATGTTCAGTAAGGTTTGATTTGACACAGAATGTTTTCCCGCACTGCTTGCATTCATAGGGCTTTTCTCCTGTATGTGTTCGCTGGTGGTTGGTAAGATGGGGTTTCTGGCAAAAGGCTTTTCCACACTCAGAACATTCATACGGTTTCTCTCCTGTGTGTGTTCTCTGGTGCTGGGTAAGGTTTGATTTCTCCCAAAACATTTTACCACACTCACCACATTCAAAGGTTTTCTCTCCCAAGTGAGCTCTTCGAGACTGGGTGGGATGTGATTTCTTGCTGAATAGTTTCCCATTTTCATGGTATGCGTAGGGTTTTCCCCCCATCTGCACAATCTGATGTTTAAAGAGAGCTGACTTTGCCCAAGTTTTACTACTCACTTTATACTCTTGGGCAATCTTTCTTGTGTAAGCTTCCTGGTGGACAATGAAAGCTGACCCATCGCAGAAGATTTTCTCATATTCATTATGCTCATAAGGACTGTTTCCTGGAAGAGCTCTCTGATGTCCAAATTGTAAATCCACATAAAAGGACTTTCTACAAATACTGCATTCATGTGGCTCCATATGCAAATGCGCTTTCTGAGACACACTGAGCTTCAAACTGTCAACGAAAGTTCTTCCACATCCCGTGTGTTCATAGAGCACCTCCCCGAGCTGAGAGTGCGGATTTGTACAAACGGCCACTTCCTCGTGGATGCCTTGCCCGTTTGCATTATACCCCAAAGGCTGATAAGAAACTGGCTGAGTGAGACCCTGGCAAAGGCTGAGGCCATCTCTTTTCTCATGTTTACTAGTTGGGAGTGGTTTCTCACTTATATTAAACCCATTAAGCTTCTTTCTGGAATGGTTCTTTTTACTGATAATTACACTTGAAATATTCTTTAAATTCATTTCACACGAGTCACATATTTTGAACAGATAACTTCTTGAAGAAACAGGGTCCATTTCAAGACTGGAAGTTTTTCTTGTGTTACCACCACTCTCTACATGTATGATCTTGTTGGTGAGCACAAACGGCCAAAAATGTTCATCTTGGTTTTCCTGGCTGCTCTCTAACAGGTCGTCCAATTTCCATTTCCTTTCTACAAACGAGAAAAACAGGTCACCACAACCTATGACTCTTAATACTTGTCCTTCTTTCTTTTTTAAGAAAGGTTTTTACTAGGGGTGAGGAAACCTAGAGGAAAATGGCCCTCCAAAGAGCAGAGGAGGGACTTGGGAAGCTAAAGCACCTTAACACATGTCTAATGGATGAGAGAACTTCTACAGAAATTCTCGACTTTGTGGTTAATTCTGTTGTTTTAGATTCAGTTTCCTGTTACAAACTGAATCCAATACATTTTCTTTAGCATCCTGGTTTGAGGAGAAAAAATATGCAGCTGTAGCAAGGATGGGGAACTGGTCATAATATTTAAATCATCATAAATATAAACTTCAAAAGTAGACACAAAGTGATGAAGAAAAACACAATTCATAGGAAACTAGAGTGGCTAAAGTCACAATATTCAAAATGGTAAAGTGAGCCCAACAAACCATGAGGACCAGCAAAGTGGCAGCAAAGATCAAAAGCCAAGGGGTTGAGAGGGTGATCTGCCCTGGGTGGGAACAGGGCGCAGCAGCCTCATGCCTCACACACAGCAGGGGAGGAGGTTCCCATCAGATGCCATGCTTTTCTCTACTATACATGACACTCTGGAGAGTCCTGGAAACACCCACTTCTTCGGGTCTGAAAGTCCAGGATCTAGAGGTTCTTTTCTTTACCTTTATTTACAGGAATAGTTTTCTGAAATGCTGTGGGAAAGCATGCTAAAAAAAAACAAAACAAACAAACAACAACAAAAAAAAAAAACAGTGAAATAAACTCCAAACACACTGTAGCATGAGCAGGTGGAGGTTATCTGAGTTGTTATCCAAGGCACAGAAAATTCACAAAGGATCGGTTGAATAGTTCTTAAACACACAGAATACTGAGAAGTATAAACAAAGAAAGAAGTAGATTTGGCAGAGTCCAAACATGGTTTATACCAAGCTCACCTTATATGCCATCTTTTCACACCCTGGTTGCTCTGAAATCCTCCTTAGTTTTCTATACTGTGTGTTTAAGCCTCTCTTTATTTCTAGGTTTTTTTCATTTACACATAAGTTTTCTGCTTTCATGTCTAACATCGCCTGTGTTTATTTACATGTAGGACCTCTAACCACCACATTTCTATATCTGTTACTGAAACTTTCAGTACACTTTATCATAAAAATCTTGGCTATCCTTAACTGTTGGTACTCAATTGCAAGAATGTTAATCATATGCTTAAGTTGTTTTTTTTTTTTTGGGGGGGGGGGAAACCTGGATCCATAGACAACAACAGACAGAAGAGGACACATAAGAGATCATTCTTTTTGGAAGGATGAAATCTCAGTGGGAAACAAATCCTATGCAATCTGGATGATCAGATCTGAGCTACTGTTAGGTTGTGGAAATAAAATGCATGCTAGTAACAGTAAAAATGTGTTCTGACTTAATGGATATAGTAAGCACACAATGTCCAAACACCTCACAGATGCAGTATTACTTATTTGAAAAAAATATTAAAAGGAAATGAAAATTTAGAAAAGGAGAGACTATAAGTATATTTCAAGTAGAGATAAGTGTGCTGGCTAGTTTTATGTTAACTTGGCAGAGCTGTAGTCATCTGAGGGGAGGGAAACGCAATGAGAAATTGCCTCCATAAGGTCCCACTCGAGGCAAGCCTGCAGGGCATTTGCTAGTTACTGATGGGAGAGGACTCAGCCATTGTGGGTGGTGCTATCCCTGGACTGGTGGTCTCTTCACAGCAATGGAAACCTTAAGGCAGTAACCTACCTTACCCAGTGACACAAGGTGACTTTCCCTTGCCAATGAACTCACTACTGTACCTGGGTGGCATTGGAATCCGTTTTCTGGTATCCAGGGATCTTCTCCTTGCTCTATCTTGAAGATCACATCTGGCTTAGTTACACAATACCCTGTTAAGACAAAATAACAGAGGATGGATACTCAATAGCTTAGTTTTGTGAACTGAAAACAAAAATGAAGGAAAAGAAAGGTGTGTTGTCAGCTATGGTTCAGGAAGGTGCTCAACATTTTGCAGAGAGGTGAGAATACACTATTGTCAGAGCAAAAATGATCAGTCATCTCAGACCCTTAAGTTTTAAGACTCCTAAGGCTCAAAGTGGAAATTACAAACATTCCCTTCCGACCTTGGAAATGTGTGCGACAGGTAACCACTGAGGAAAAACCCTTACCTACTGAGACAAAGTTGCTATAGTTCTCCAGGGTCACATCTCTGTAAAGCACTTTCTGAGCAGGGTCCAGCAAATACCACTCTTCCTTGGTGAAATCCACACACACATCCTTGAATGACACTTGCTCCTGTAACAAAATATTTTTCTGAATGAAGTCATTAGGACTGATCAATGTAGAGAAGATTTAGCAGAATGAGTTTCTTTAGAGTTCACTGAAAAATAATAAACAGGATACCTCCCCTTTGCTACACTATGTAGAATAAAAGGAAATGTCTTGTACAAATTGAGATTCAGCTAAAGGTGTTTTAGTTGCTATGAATCCTGCCAAGGCAAGCAAAAACACAGTTCCTTCTTAGAACCCTGTTGCAGACAGGGAGGAATAATGAGCAAAGGGGTCAAGATTAGGCTTGAGAAAGAAACCCACAGAAACTGCTGATCTGAACAAGGGGGAGCTCATGAGCTCCAGTCTGATAGCTGGGAAACCAGCATAGGACTGACCCAGACTCCCTGAATGTGGCTGTTAGTTAGGAGGCCTGGGCAGTCATTCTTGTGGATTCCTGGGAATTTCCCTGGTACTAGGTTCCTCATTAACCCTATAATGGCTCCATCTATTAAGGTATCTCTTTCCTTGCTCTCCTTCTCTGTCCTTTCCCCAACTAGACCTTCATGATTCCTAATGCTTTCCTCCCCTTCTCTTTTACCCTTCCCCAGTCTCCTACTACCCTCCCCTCCCCCATGCTCCCAATTTACTCAGGAGATCTGGTCTATTTCCTCTTCTGGGGGGGTGTCCATGTATGTCTCTCTTAAGGCTCTCCTTGTTTCCTGGCTTCTCTGGGGTTGTGGACTGTAGGCTGATTATCCTTTGGTTTATATCTAATATGATGGGGAATGTCCTTCTGTGTGTGTGTGTGTGTGTGTGTGTGTGTGTGTGTGTGTGTGTGTCGTATTGGTTGATGAATAAAACACTGACTGGCCTGTGGCTGGGCTAGGAGACAAGCAGAATTCCGAGGAGAGGAGAGGAGAGGAGAGAGAGAGAGAGAGAGAGAGAGAGAGAGAGAGAGAGAGAGAGAGAGAGAGAGAGAGAGAGAGAGAGAGAGAGAAGGCCAGGGTGAAATGTCATGTAGTTGCAAGGAATAACATGCTGAACCCTTCTCTGGTAAGACAGGATCATGTGGAAATACTTAGATTAATAGAAATGGGTTACTAACTAAAAGAGAGCTAGCCAATAAGAAGCCTGAGTCATTGCCCAAACAGTTTATAATTAATATGTCTCTGTGTGCTTATTTGGGACTAATTGGTTGTGGGACCAGGCTGGAAAGAAACTCCAGCTACACTAATATCCACTTATGAGTGAGTACATAACAATTCTTCTTCCTCTGTCTGGGTTACCTCACTCTTGGTGGTTTCTTCTAGTTCCATTCATTTACCTTCAAATTTCCAGATGTCACTGTTTTGTTTTTTGGGGGTTTTGTTGTTGTTATTTTTTTTTCAATCACTGAGTAGTACTCTATTGTATATATGTACCACATTTTCTTTATCCATTCTTCAGTTAAGGAACATATAGGGGGCTTCCAGGTTCTGGCTATTAAAAATAATGCTGCTATGAACACAGTTGTACAAATGTCCTTGTGGTGTGAGTGTGCATCCTTTGGGTATATGCCCAAAAGTGGTATTGCTGGGTCTTAAGGTAGATTGATTCCCAGTTTTCTAAGAAACCACCATACTAAATTCCAAAGTAGTTGTACAAGGTTGCACTCCCACCAGCAATGGAGGAGTGTTCCCCTTACTCCACATCTTCTCCAGCAAAAGCTGTCCTCAGCATTTTTGATCTTGGCCATTCTGACAGGTGTAAGATGGTATCTCAGAGTTGTTTTGATTTACATTTCCATGATGGCTAAGGATGTTGAGCAATTCCTTAATTGCCTTTCAGCCATTTGAGATTTCTCTATTTAGATCTGTACCCCATTTTAAAATTGGATTATGTGGTATTTTGGTGTCTGTTTTCTTGAGTTCTTTATATATTTTGGAGATCAGCCCTTTGTTAGATGCAGGGGGAGGGAGGGTCACAAAAACAGCTGACTGGAGCAAGTAGGAGTTCACTGACTTTAGACTGACAGCTGGGGAACCTGCATAAAGCCACAGTAGGCCCCCTGAATGTAGATGTCAGATGGGGGCTTGGACAGTTTATGGGACCACTGACAGGGGAAACAGTATGTATCCCTACTGCATGCCTGGCTCTTTGGAGCCCATTCCCTCTGGAGGGATACCTTGCTCAGGGAGGGCCTTTGTCCTTCCCCCAAATGACACAGCAGACTTTGATGATTTCACATGGCAGGCCTCACCCTCTCTAAGGAGTGGATGAGGGATGAGGGATGGGGTAGGGAGATGGTCGTGGGAGTGGGAAGATGGGAAGGAGAGGAAGCTAATATTGGTATGTAAAATAAGATTGTTTTAAAACTAAAAATATTAATTAAAAAAAGTTATTATTGAACAATGTGTATTAATGTCTGCCATATTATCAGAGTATTTTTAGGCCTCATTTCTTCTTTTTGATTAACTGTTCTGAAACTGTTCCCAGTGAACAATTTGGTGTGCTTATCCTTGCTTTCAGACTCAAGTATTCCTTCCTGTAGAGTATCCTCTGTAGAGTTAGCTTAGCAGACAAATTTTTTCCCCATCTGTTTTATCATGGAAAGTTATTTCTTCAATTTGAATAGTTTTGCTGGGTATAATAGTCTGGTGGACTTTCAGGAAGCAGGCTTGGCAAGTCACAAGGAGCAAGCCAGTCAGCAGCACTCCCCCAAGGCCTCTGCTTCATTTCCCACCTCTGGGTTCCTGCCTTGAGTACCTTCCCTGACTTCCTTTGACGATGATGGACTATGGTTTAGAAGTGTAAGGGAAATAAACCCTTTCTTCCTCAAGTTGTTTTTAGTAATCACAGCTATAGAAACCCAAACTAAGGCAGCACCAGTTCAGGATTTGTTAAGGAGATGTGTTATCTTGGTGTTTTATGTTGTTTTGGTTCCTGTGCTGGGACTTGTGCATATGGAATTTGATTGTTAGTTGAGTACTTTTTATTTTTTAAACTTAAGTCACCTTCTTTCAGCAGTGATTGTCTCCAGTGTTCAGGAGAGGAATAAGTCCTAGTAGGGTTGAGATGTCATTTAACTTATAGGTCTGGTATTTAGGGCTGGAAGTCCTATCTGAAATAGTCTTCTGGGAGGGTCAGGTATTGCCCTGTAACATCTAGGGCCTCCTGCATGGATCTGCAGCTTCAGCTGAGCATTGTTTAACTCTCCATGGGCCTCACCGAGCGTCAAATCTGGTTCCTCCTTGGGTCTGAAGTTTCACCTGAAGCCACTGGGAGATGTGGAACTTCAAACAAGCCTGTGGGCAGAGTTAAATCCTGTTCCCCATCCTATGACCAAAGTTTCCTCTGAAGCCACTGAGAGATATGGAACCTGATGAGCACCAATAGTCAGTTCAGGACTTGTCCCTTTGCAGTCTAACCCACAGCCAGATCTACTCTCTACACCAGGTCTGCACCTTCTCCTGAAGCCTCTGGAAGCCTCCCTCAATACCAACAGACCAAACACTGGTTCAGGACCAGTCTACACCCTGCATCTGCTGGGAGAAATTCTTTTCCTACACCTCTAACAGAGAGAATTAACATCTAAAATATACAAGGGGAAAAAAACCCAACTAAACATCAAGAAAAGAAATTATCCAATTAAAAGATGTGTGTGGCGGGGGGGGGGGGGGCGGGGATGTGTGTGGAACTGAACAGAATTCGCAGAATAACAACACTTTACCCCAGTCAGAATAGCAATCATCAGGAATGCAAATCAGAACAATGCTAGCATGAGTTTAGGAAAAGGGAAACCCTCATACAGTGTGAACAGAGTGTAAACTAAGGCATACACTTTGGAGAAAAGTCTGGTGATTTAAAAAGGTCTATAAGTAGAATTCCACTCACCCAGATATACCACGTGTGAACATGCACATAAAAGAGTCTAAATCCTACTGTAGGGATATTTACACAGTCTGGCTCACTGTGGTTCTATTTAGAGGAGGTAGGAAATGAAATCTGTTTAAATACCAACCAGGTGATGAACAGACAGTGAGAATGTGGTACATGCATTCAGTGGAAATGTGTTCAGCTGTAAATAAAAATAAAATTATGACATTTGTATAAAAATTGGTGAAACGGAAAAATATTACACTGTATACAGGTCCACAATGTCAAAAGCCAAATGTTCTCTCCTATTTGTGAAGCACAGCTTTAAGTTCTTCCATGTGTATCCTTAGCCTGATATATTTATAGAAACTTGGAAGTGAGAAAGGGGCCTTGGGGAGGTAGAAGGGGAAGAGGCATCAAGGAGAGTAGGGAGAGAAGAACACATGCGATCTGAAATGGAAGAAAGGGATAAAAGATTCAAACAGGAATAGGGGCACTAGAGAGAAGGAGTGATGGAAAGAACTAGCCAAAACTAAAGGTGTATTTAAAAAGCCACACTAAAAACTACTACTTTAAAAGCTAATTTTTGTCTTTTTGTCTTCTATTTTTATGCATTATTAGTATGGGGGTGTGTGGTAGTTGAAAGACAATGGCCCCCAAAGGGAGTGGCAATACCAAGAGGCGTGGCTTTGTTGGAGTGGGTGTGTCCTTGTTTGAGGAAGTGTGGCACTGTGGGAGCAGCTTTGATGTCTCCTATATGTTCAAGCCACACCTAGTGTCTCAGTTCACTTCCTTCTGCCTGTGACTCAAGCTGTTTAGTACCTCTTATTTTATGAAAATCAACTCAAAATGGAGCAAAGACCTTCACTTAAGACTAACATAAGACCCACACTGTCAGAGAAAGCACCTCCAATTAGACATGCTAGTCAGAATTTCCTACAGAGGGCTCTGATAGCTTATGAAATAATACCAAGAACTGAAACATAGCATTTTACCAAATTAAAAAGTTTATCCATAGTAAAGAAAAAACAAAACAAAAAAAAACAAGTAAGGGAACAACATACAGAATGATGAAAAAAATAAACTTTGCTAGCTGTACATACGACAGGGGATTTATACACAGAATATATATATATATATATATGTATATATATATATATTCAAAAGAAAAAATAAACAAAAAAATAATAAATCCAACCAATAAATGAGCTAATGAAATGAACATACTACTTTCAAGAGCTGAAATATAAATGGTCGATAAACATGGAAAGTGTTCAAAATCTCTAGCAATCAGAGAAATGAAAATCAAACTGTTTTATGATTCAGAATGTTATGTGAGTCCATCTGATTTGCTATCATTAATAAAATAAACAACAAATGGTAGGCAGACTGCCCTTACACTCTGCTGGCAGCAAAGTAAATTAGACCAGCCTTGATGGGAATCAGTAAAGAAGCTCTTCAAAGGACTAAATCAAGAAACTGAGAAGTGGCTCCATGGATAAAATGCTTTCTGACAAGGATGAGGACCTGAGTTCAAATCCCACGAACCCATGTAAAGGCCAGACATGGTAGTATATGTCTGTAACTCCTTCAGTGAGATGAGAGGCAGAGACAGAATTCCTGAAAGCTCAAGGGCCATCTGGAACAAAAGAGACTATTTCAAATGAGATGGGAGATGGGGACTAGCACCCAAGGTTGTCCTCTGACCTCCACACTCCCACTGCAACACATGAGCACCTGCAAACATACCCCCCCCACACACCAAACACAACTAAAAATAGATCTAATAATGACCCAGCTATACTATTTCTGAGTGTATACCCAAAGAGGTCTATGTTGTTTGGGTTTTTTGTTTTTCTCAACTTGACACAGCCAGGATCATCTAGACAAAGGAAACCTCAATTGAGAAAATGCCCCCATCAGATTGGCCTGTACGCAAGCCTTGAGGGGAAGGAAGTCTTATTGATTAGTGATTGATGAAGGAGGGCACAGTCCACTGTGGACCGCCCTGGGCAGGTGGTCCTGGGGTGTATAGGAAGGCAGCTGAGCAAGCCTTGGAGATTAAGACAGCAAGCAGACTTCTTCCCTAGTCTCTGCTTTAGATCCTGCATTCAGGTTCCCATGCCGCTTTGAGTTCCTACTTTGAATAACTTCATGATTGACTATGATTGGGACGTGCAAACAGATAAACCCGCTCCTCCCCAAATGGCCTTTTGTCATGGCGTTCACCGCAACAGAGAGGAAACTAACACAGGCTTAAAGTTGAGAGACCACAGAAATAGTTCCACATTTATTCATACGGTATTATTATCAAAAGAGCCAAGTAACAGACGGACAAGCTAGGTGCCCATCAACAAATGAATATGTGAAGGAAATTATATATGCACAATGAAGTTTTAATCAACCTTAAAAGAGGATGAAATTATTTTGTTAGCTGAAAACTGGGTGCAACATCAGTTCACTATAATAAACCAGACTCAGAAGATAAATATCAGTTTTCCCTCACTAATGGATCTTAGATCTTTCTCAGATAATGTCTTCTGTTCCTTTGATAGAAACTTTTATTGTCTGTACTCAGCTGAACACACACAGTCTACTGAACAATGCCACACTTACACATGTGACACAGTATGACACAAAAGCAGAAAGGAGACTGGGGGATGGAAAGAGATCAAAAAAGGACAGGGGGATAGAGAGGAAGAAATGGTGAGCATGCTCAAAACACACCAAATGCAAAAGAAATAACCTAAATGAAATCTAACACAATATTCAATAAACCGACAGCAGGGAACATGTTAAACAACAAAAGAGGGTATGTGAAAGGGTTGGCAATGTTGAAACAACATTCTAGACTAATAGGCCACTCCTGGGCATCTACCCAAACGACACTTCGTCCTACCACAAGAACACATGCTCAACCTCACTCACTGATGCTCTATTCATAATAGCCAGAAACTGGAAACAACCTAGATGTCCCTCAACAGAAGGATGGAAAAAGAAAATGGACACTTACACAGGAGTATTACTCAGCTGTTAAAAATAAATAAATAATGTCATGAAATTTGCAGGTAAATGGATGGAATTAGAAAAAAAAATCCTGAATGAGGTACTGTGAAGTGAAAAAAGGAGAATGGCAAATATAGAATATATCGTGCCATGCAAATGAATGGCACAACAGGCTTTGCTGTGAGCTCATTAGAAATTCAGAATTCAGAGGGTGCGGCTCAGTGGTGATGCATTTGACTGTAGAAATTCACAATCCATCTGGGCTTGTGGTCTGCATCATCCCAGCATCAGGGCAACAGAGGCAGGTCATGAGCTAACGGCCTTTCTAGGCTACACAGCAAGAACCTGACTCAAAAATTCGGGGGCTGAATTAGCAGAGTATTTGGTGAGTGTACTCAAGGCTCTGGAGTTAATCTCCAAGAAAAAGAAGAAAAAGAGAGGGGAGAGGGGAGAGAGAGAAGAAGGGGGAAAGGGAGGAAGAGAGGAAGGGAAGAAGGTAGAAGAAGAGAGGAGTGGATGTGAGAAAGGGGGAAGGAGGGAAATTCAGGGCTTCACCCACATCTGCTACCTCAGAGCACACACTAAAATGATGTCCCAGACTCACAGATGCATCTGAGTTTGAGAAGCCCTAAGATCAGGTTTGTAAATAGAAAGGGAAGATATATATAAGAACAGTCACGCACATGTTTTAATTCAAGTAACACTAACATTTTGTAACAGTGTTACAAAATGGTTAACTATAGTAAGATGACCATACATTTATGTCTAGAATTGCCCCCAAAATTTGCAAACTGACCTAGCCTAATTATTTATAGAATCCATTTCATGTCCAGTGAAAATGTCTCAAGAGGATGAATATCACCCCATCTAGAGGGGACAGAAAGTGTGGAGTGGGAAGGAGTACACACTTTTTTTTTATCTTTCGTATCAGTTCCCACCCCCACCCCACCCCACCCCAGGTTTTTAAAATTTTATTAGCATACTATTCTAAATGTTAGCATATTACTAACCCAAAAACATTAAGAAAAAAACAAAGCACATGAAACCCATCAATAAAACAAAGAGCAGAGGGTCAAGGGTGAAAGCAATGTCTGGAGCAAAAAGAAAAGATGTCTTCATAAGGGTTGGTGGGAAGCCAGACAGGAATGAGAGTTTAGAGCATGGGGGTCCGAAAACAGAGAGCACGTTCAAAATAGTCTCTGTGCATGCGTGCATGCGTGCATGGGTGCGTGTGTGTTTTAGTTTGTCTGTGTTGTTTGTTGTTGTTCTTCTTCTTAAATTTGGGGGGCAGGGGAGAAAAAACATTAAGTGTGGGAAGAATATGGAAGGATCTGAGGGAGGGAAAGAATATAACAGGAATGCATTTCGTGAAAAACATTGTTAAATAAAAAAAATTAAAAGAGTCCATTGACAAACCTACCAAATGCTGCTGACCATCAAGAAAGGCAAAAAGACAAGGCTATTCACTGGCTGGTCAAGAAGATGATTTGGTGGCCCTTTGTAGAACTGACTCAGGTGAATGGTGGTAAGGGGACAAGGCCTCGCTTTTGAAGTTGAATGTGAATGAGAGATGTATAAACATAAGCTGCCTGGAAGCACAAATGAGAGCTCATACACAGGATGGCATTTCTCCCTCCATTAGCATTTGTCCTGAACCAAACAGGAGCCCCAGAGCAGTCTACTCCAGCCTCAGTGTTGGAACCGACACAAGACACACACTTAACAAGAGATGGTTATAGGGACATCACATTCACCTCTGTGTGACTAACCAGAGAACACAGAGAAATTTCTATCACCCGAACACTCCTCTAAGTTTAGAAACCCTAATCTGCCAACTGTCCGAATTCAATTTTTTTTTACTATGACTGTAAAATTTTGCCCATTTTTACTTTTTCTTTTAAAAAGAATTACAAATCCTCAAAACAAAATGGGACTGAATAAGATTAAAAACTCACCTGGGACTTGTTCATTTTCTGCAGAGCAGAGGTGGGACGAGCTGAGGGGAAAGGAAGAAGAGCATGAGGAGAGATTTGGCCTGCCCTGCAGCCCTGGATTCACGCGCATGCAGTTCCACTCAAGTTTACTTCAAGTGTGCCCCTAACAAGCTCAGATACTTCTCACTGACTGAATACAAACACTTGTTTCGAATTACCACCCAACTTACAGAAAAATTAAAAAGATGAGAAGATCTTTGTAATTCACCAAATAATAACCTGAAGGGAGAAACGGCATGGCTTTGTCTGGACTGATATTCAAGGGAGAAGGAGAGAAATCAGGACATCATTGTTTACCTGACACCATTAATCCCTTGAAGTCAGATAATTTGAGAAAACTTAAGAAAAGAGATGCGGGTTTTTAAGGCAATATAAATTTTCAAAATGTGTCCCACGTTGCTTGCTTACAACTCTCTTGACATCTCTTGATAAGAAACTTTGGCCGAAAAGTGACAAATGTACAACCATCTGCAGGCCTTGTGTCACTAAAAACTTGCAAGATATCTCAGGTTCTCAAGCTTAATGTAAAAACAAACAACAACAACAACAATTCTGAAACGGATTAACCCAAAGGGCCACCTATACTGCCCAGTGGACATTTATGGCCAAAAAAGCATGGCCAACAGCTTCTGCCTTCATGACACCTTTGTGTGAGTCAGGGACCGCCCCTCACCGACAACAAAGTAGGAGGGGTGCAAGGGACATTTAGGAAAGAGGGTGACAGCAATTCCGGACCTGTGGCTGGTGAACCTTTCACCCCTAATCAGTTTCCAAAACAGTGGCATTCCCTGTGCACCTTGGGTGCACCCATCTCTCTCAACTCCAGCTCACCTCTCTCTCCTTAAACTTGTCCCAGACTTTCGGCGGGCACACAGTCTTCCATAGTTACAGGATATTGTGTCATTGCACACAAAAAAACGAGCAAGTATCAAATTCAGAACGGGGATCCCGAGTGTGAGGGGCAGAAGGCTTGGAGGCTAACTAGGCCGGCTCTTTCCTCTTCCACTCCAAACTCTGTGCCTTAGGAACCAGTCCAAAGGCCCGGCGGCAAGGCTGGGCTCTCTGCGACCCTCACAGGGTATTCCTTACACACGAAGTATTAACAGCTTTAAAAAAAAAAAAAAAGGCACCAAGTATTCGTAATAGTCACATTGTGCAGAAAAGGAAACTGAGTCTGGAGTGGGTTATTCTGTCCCAGAAATTCATTCACTCGGGATCAGAACTGCCCACTCGCCCCTACATCCCAGCGTCTGGCCCCAGCAGTCAGAGAACGCACGCGTCACAGCGTCACTTTCATGTCACGCATGCGTAACTCCTCACGGTCCCTCCCTACAACCCCGGACCGTCCCCTCCTAGTGCACAAAAAGGCGCACGCGCAACACGAGCTAGCGGCCCTAGGTTTGCTTTGCAGAGGTGCAGCACCATCTGAACCTCCGCAGCCTAGCGCCGGCGTCCAAACGCACCCCAGCACTTCCCCAGACGGGTCCCCCGCGAGCCCCTGTTCGTTGCTGATTGCAGTCTGGATGGCCCCGAGCTCCCGGAACCCTCCGCTCCTGCCGCCATCTAGGGCTCACCCGCGGCGCTCCCGCAATACAGGGAGCCGAAGGCCAGGAACTGTTTCCTAGGAGGAACGCGAGGCCAGGAAAGAAGCAGGAATGCAGTAATACAGCGTGCGCATGCGCATGGAAGGGGCGTTGAGCCCATCTGTGCTAGGAGTGGGGTCCCTAAGTCCAGTGTTGGAAGGAGTATTGCCTTGAGAACAGAGTCAACTCTTGTCTCACCCTCTATTGTAAAATGATGCTATTGACAGTATCTAGGAACCAGGGTTTCCAGAATTAAAGGCGTTTACAGTGAAAACACAACCTTGCCAGACTCATTTCTCAGGACAGGGCTTTCTGGTACACTATGCTAGTTTCTGTATCTTTATCACTCCGATCTAGAGCCAACCTTCTGTCAGAACCCTACAGGGTGGGGATCAAATCAGTATATTCGTTACACTCCAAAAGGATAGTTGTGCTTAAAGTTATGGTGGAATGTCAACCATAGCTGGAATCGTCTCGTTCACGCTAAGATTTCATGGGTGAAGCTTCCTGCAATAACTAGACAGCACAGTCTCACATCAGAGTTCAGGTCTTCTGGCCCTAAAAATCTCTGCCAGGTCTTCTGCAATGTTGCCTGAGCCTCAGATACGGATGCCATGTTGTATCAGTTGGGGCTGGGAACTCCACCTTCAGTTGCACTCTGTATTTTGATAATTTGTGGCCTTTGGTAACTGGCTCTTGCTGCTGTAGAAGATGCCATTTTGATAAGGGATGAGGTCCACACTTACCTGATCCTTGTTTTCAAAAGATCACTGGCATGTTCGATGTTTTAAGAGATGTTGTATTTTTGAAGACTTGCTGGTATAGGACAACATGCTTTTCCTTTAGCATACCTCCTGCTTGAGCCGTGATCAGTAAATCTAGGGTTCAATAGTTCTAGACTATGACTATTGTGTGCCAATTTTATGTTCCTTTATTATCAAAAGTCTGTGAGTTGGTGTAGTTAGTTGTGAGTTCTATGGATACTTTCTGGGTAGTGAAAATAGACTTCATAAGACCCTCCCCTAACTTTTATACCTAACAATTTATTTTGAACCAGAGAGATAGACATATGCACTTCTCATTAAATGTGACTTTTGGAAGGATATATGCAGGTTATGCAATTCTGACCAGTTGATTGGGAGACAAAGCTAGGCTTGCCAAGGTTATATATGTAAAGTATGTGTGGTCATTAGGATCTAAGTGGTCAGGAAAAGGTTATATATGTAAAGTATGTGTGGTCATTAGGATCTAAGTGGTCAGGAAAGAAAAGGGAGAACTTTGGAATGGTTCTAATAGCACACACCAGTTAGTGGGATAAGGCACCCTGTACAAAAGAAAAGTATAGGCAAAGACGGGGATGAAAGATAAGGTTCTGGGCTGGACTTCAGGCTGAGGAAGAGGGATCAGGTAGAGTAGAAATTGAAGGAGACATAGAAGGCAATGATAGAAAGACTGAATGGTGAGGAGTATGAGGGAGGAAAGTCGAAGGTATGCTTTGAAGGATGCTCTGAGATCAGGTGGGCTAAAAGAAGAGGGGGCATGATGCAGCGATAGAAAGGAAGTCTCTGATGAAGTTTGATAGGGAGGGGGGCTCATCTGCTAGATCAGAATCTGAGAGACAGTCCAGGAGATTAAATTTGAGAGTGTGAGCTAGTAGGACCTGGTATGCAAAAATGGAGGAAAGAGAAGGAACAGGAGTAGAGATAAAAGAAGGCTTGGGGTTAGAGAATCTCCAACCACTTTCCATTTCATTGGAGGAAGCTGTGGAGGTCCCACAAGTTGGAAGAGTTGAATGTGTCAAATTCAGGCCATCAGTTGGTTGTTGAGGGCAAATTGGGGCCAGATCTGAAGAGAAAGTCAGATGAGGTAGGGGACTGAAGATTCCATTGAGGCCTAATTGATTGTTTTTGTTTGTTTGTTTAACCCTGTCTCACTGTGTAGCTCTGGCTGTCCTGGACTTTGCTATATAGACACCATACCTACTTGTTTGAATTTTTAAAATTAGATTCATTTTATGTGTTTGAGTGTTTTGGCTGCATGTATGTGCATCATGTATGTGCCTGGTGCCTGTGGAGGTCACAAGAGGACAACAGAGTTACAGATAGCTGTGACCAGGTCCTCTGCAAGAGCAGCAAGTGCTCTTAAACACTGAGCCATCTTCCCAGCCCTTGTTTGAAAGTTTTTAGGAGGCAAACTTTCTTAATTAGTTTTCAATTGATGTGACAAAACACCATGACCAGGGCTTTTTTATTTCCTTGTTGGAAAAAAAGGGTTTGATCGTGTGTACAGTTTCAGAGTGGTAGGGCAGAGGCATGAACATCTGACTCACAAGTAGGAGGCAGAGATTCACAATAGGAATGGTGCCAGCCTTTTGAAACCCCAAAGCCAGCCCCCAGTGACACATCTCCTCCAGCAAGATCTTGCCAAATGTTGAATGTTTTAGATAAACTCTATCCCTGGGTCTTACTTTTATTAATTGTTTGAAAATTTGATACATATATACAACATGTCTTTATCATATACACACCACTCCCTTACTCCAACTCTCCCCGACTGTCCAATATGACTCCCTCCCAATGTTTTAATTATTTTAGACAATAATCCACTGAACCTACTTAGTGTTGCCCATGTGTGAGGACATCCCCTGGGATGGGCAACCTACCAGGAACTGCCCACCAAAAGAAAAGTAATTCTCCCTCCCCAATATTTACTTTAAAACTCTGGACATTGGGGAAGGTTTATTTTTGCTATATAATCTCAAGATCTAGATATAGGCAGGGGTGATAATCTAACTTGGACAAAATTGCTTTTCATGCATGAGGTTACACTTGGGCAAGCTCTTCTTACAATTCAACAGTTGGCATATATGTTAATAAACTCCTGAGTGCCACAGATCTCATCCCTGTGAAGCCAGAGACTAGCCTTGGCATAAATGGGGGCAAATTCCTGAGGGCTTACAGATATCCCAGACCACCCCTGTGAAGCCAGAGACTAGTCATCCAATGAAAAGGTTATTCACAACCTCCTTCGTGGTTCAGTTCCACATACTCAACTTTATAGTTTAAATAGCAGAAACGATCTATTTCTTCCATGGGCCTTGGCACTGGCCAGAGTCTGTCAGTTGGATGGCTTCATCCAGCCAGTGGGGAGCAGAGTTGACTGGGCTAAGAAATCTCACACACACAAATGCACACACACAAATTCATGCACGCACACACAATTATTACTATTATTGTTATTATTATGTAGATGCCATGTTATAAGACAGTATAAATTATAAATGATGAAAGAAAAATTGTCATTAACTTGAAAGAAAATGAATGACTATCATGGGAAAAGATCAATTGAACATTCAAGTCAATTTAACTGAGGCAAAGTTTATTTCATATATTTGTTACATTCCATCAGTAAGTAAAAAAAAAAAAAACACATTTCTTTGGGAAAAATACTTCTAAGTCTAGGCCTTTTCCACATATAAATACAATGAACAAAATAAATAGACTGCACAGAAATCATTCACCCATATACTGATGCATCATGTTTGGTAAACGGAACATTTGTAAGAGTGGGCTCAGGACCAGCTACAGTATGTGTAACGCTGAGTAACAGAAACCTGTGTGGTAAAGTGCTGAGTCGCCAATATCTTAGGCTCTATTAGCCTCTATTAGCTTTGCCTCTATTAGCTTTGCCAGCACAGTGTGAAGGCAGCCACAGGCAGAGTGTAAGCAAACGGATTTATATTAGTGTTCTCAAAGTGCTTCATTTATAACACTGGAATTTTGTTTCCTACAACCTTCATGTGTCACAAAATATTTAATTCTTGCAATCATTGAGTAATATAAAACTAATCTCAGCTTATAGGCTACAAAAAACAGGCTGTGGATCTGGCAGATGGACCGTGGTTCACCAATCCCTGGCCTTGCCTACTCAGGATCTGCTCCTGAGCCACCATGGGTGGATACACAACCAAATCAAATCAAGGCACTAACAGCAATAAGGCTGGAGATACGTAGTGGGTTGCCAACCTTTTCACTGTGTGATTCAGGAAATACAAATTAATGAGAACAATATCTAATGTTGAGTTTTTTATGTACGACACTGTTCTAAGTGTTTTAAAATATCAATCTAAGTCAACCTCAAGACAATTTTAGGATGCCCCTGTCACTGCTCTCACAGGAAGGGAAGCTGAGGCACAGTGAAGTTACATGGCATGCCCAGGCTGGGGTCTGGGTCAAGATAGTAAGAGCCTAGAATCTCACTTTTAGCCACTGGCCACATTGCCTCCGCTACCCAGAAAAGAAAGGGAAAACCATGAGGTATTTTTCACACAAAATACAAACACAGATACTGCTACAAAACATCTACAGTAAGAAGCAGCTTAGACTGCTACAAATCCATCTCCAACCCAAAGTTTGACTGATCACAATATAGCTGATAAAATTACAATAACATTTAAGTTTCCTTTGAAGGGTCCATTTGGTAACAATGTCTGAACCCATTTGTAAGTGCCAGGAAGCAGACGAAAAGATACAATATGCTTTTAAAGTATACACCAACATATGTCACAGTAACAGCACTATCAGTGGAAATCACTGTGGGGACTCACAAGTGTTCTCGCACAGTACAGCTATTGAACGCAGGCACAATGACAGATGGCTTCCACGTGCAAGTCACACACTTGCAAATCTGTTTTGTTGATACCCCCACACACCTACTCCATACGTATCAAAAGCACTTTTTTGTTTAATGGTGTTTCCTGATTACTTTTGTTCTTTTAAGTAGCTTGATATACTCGAGAGCTGTTGGTTTCTGGTTTTGTTGCTTGCTCGTTTAGGAAGGAAAATCAATCTTGGAACTAGCAACATGACTTACAGTGTGACTGCTGACTTCAAGGTAAATTCCTTCAATTTTTCTTAAAAATATCTCAAATATTGAAAATGCCTACATAGGTATGATTAAAGTATTAATATAATTAACATTCAGTGATGGATGTGTTCCTAATGAGGCTTCCATATCTGTTGCAATCTGTACCCTAATTCCCCTCAATCTTTTTAAGACAAGTGCAGCTGTGTGTGAAGACTTCTGAGTGCTTGGATACCCATGAGAGGTCCTCACTGTGGACTCTGGATGGGGCTAGATGCTATGACAGAAACATCTGAACTTTTGCTTACTGGATTTCTGCCCCATGTTATCTTTCATGCTTTATAATTTTCACAGTTTATGTCACCTGTTGACCATACTGTAAAGTCCTTCCTAATAACATCACAGAATTTCCTTCTGTACATGTGCCGATAATTCTATAAGAGAAAAACACGGCTGACAGTTGTTTTTCTCGATACTTAGAAGGTTCTCTTTCTGTGTGGATTACAACAGAAGGATGAGTTATGGCCGGGGCTCTGAACTCACACTATTTGCTAGTTTTCCCCTTCTTGGCATGTGTCTTCTGATGTGCATTGAGTTGTGACCTCTGGATAAAGTTTTCCCCACACTCCTGGCACTCATAGGGCTTCTCCCCCGTATGTTTTCTCTGATGTATGACAAAATGTGACTTCTGGGAGAAGGATTTCCCACATATGTCACACTCATAGGGCTTCTCCCCCGTGTGGGTTCTTTCATGCAATCTGAGGACCGAGTTCACAGAGAAAGACTTGCCACACTCCGTACATTCATAGGGCTTCTCCCCAGTGTGTTTTCTCTCGTGTTTGGTGAGGTCTGACTTATAGTAAAATGTTTTCCCACACTTACTACATTCGAACGGCTTCTCCCCAGTGTGAGTTCGCTGATGTACAGTGAGGGCTGACTTCTGGTAGAAGCAGTTCCCACATTCCTTACACTTGTAGGGTTTCTCTCCTGTGTGGGTTCTCTGGTGGGTTTTGAGGTGTGAATTCCTAGAGAAGAGTTTCCCACATTCCTTACATTTATAGGGTTTCTCCCCTGTGTGTGTTCGCTGGTGGACTGTGAGGTGCGACTTTTGGGAAAAGAATTTCCCACACTCCTTACACTGAAAAGGTTTCTCCCCTGTGTGTGTCTTTTGATGCACCAGGAGGTATGCCTTCACATAGAAGAACTTCCCACACTCCTTACACTCAAAAGGTTTCTCTCCTGTGTGTGTTTTCTGATGTTCAGTGAGATGTGGCTTCTGATAGAATGATTTATCACACTGGCTACATTCGTAGGGTTTCTCCCCTGCATGGATTCTCAGATGTCTAGTGAGGGATGACAGGTGGTAGAAAATTTTGTTACATTCTTTACATGGGTAGGTTTTTTCTCTGGTGTGAACTTTCTGGTGTATTGTAAGCTCTTCATTTGTATAGAAAGATTGCCTACACTTCTCACACTCGTGGGACTTCTTGGTGTGTGTTTCCTGGTGCACGGTGAGGGAAGACTTCTGGCAGAAGGACTTTCCACATTCGCTGCAGTCATAGCTCTCATGCTGGGTGGGAGTTTTCCGACATTTGCTGAGTTCTCCTTTCCTAGAGAGAGAATTCCCAATGCATTGATTTCAAAGCTTCTCCAGGGCTGTGTTTTCTCTGAATAACTTTGACGGTGAGTTTCATGATAGTGCGTATCAGGTTCATAGGGCTTCTCCACTGCAAACACTGACCTACAGAGTGACTTAACATGCCACAGAATGAGGCTTCCCCTGAAGTCTCAGGGTCTCTTAATGGCCAGACTGTACTTTCTGGAATAAAATCTCCCTTACTGCATAGTTCAGGAAAGGGCAAAGATAACCATAAAGTTTGACTGCTTTGACGCTGAATCATGCCCCTCAGTAAGGCATGCCTGTTTGGGTCACATTCTTTGAGATTCATTCCAGTGCCAGTTTAACCATATTTTGTATTAATCAACAATTTCTTCCCCACTTTCAAACAAGACTATTCTTCCTCCCAAAGCTCTATCCTACACATTTAATTTTGAACTTGCCTTGCATTTCCAGCCTGACGTTCCTGGTGTTTGGTCCTGGGGTCAGAAATATTCTGTTGTTTGTCTACAAAGGAATCAAGATTTTAACACACCATTATGGTCAAAGGTTGATTCTTAGTCTTCAGTTAAGTCTGTCAAGATGAAAGCACTCTCAAATGAAATTTTCCTCTATACCATTTGTGACAGTTTTCCTTGTTACCCTAGAAAGTCTCAAGGGGAATCTCCTAGGTCTGTGGGCCTGTGGTGATTATGTTAATTGATGTGGGAAGAAGCAGCTTAAAGGTGGGAGATGCTGCTCCCTGGGTCAGGTCTTGAATTGTGTAAGAATTGAGAAATCCAGAGGAGCCAAAGAAATGCATGCATGCAATTGCTCTCCCCGCCCCCACGCCAGTAACTCCTAGCCATAGATGCCCACTATTATCTTATTCAACTTCCTGTTCACTGTCCTTAATGAGAGAGCAGGGTTCTTTGATTCCCACATTACTAATCAGCAACATATTTTGTTCTCTGAGCCATGTTCTTTCTTTTTTGTCTCAGCTTTCACCTCCAGGTTTTTAGAGTTACGCTGACAGAGATGTCGGAGATGTTTGGGTTTATAATCAGGTTCCTTCAGTGCCTGCTAAGTGAGTTTCAGGCTTTGTTAGACTTTTTTTTTTTTTTTTTAAGATTCACTAATTTTGTGTGCATTGGTGTTTTGCCTGCCTGTGTATCTGTGTGTGGGTGTCAGATCTTCTGGAACTGGAGTCACAGACAGCTGTGAGCTGCCATGTGGGTTCTGGGAATTGAAATCAGGTCCTCTGGAAGAGCAGCCAGTGCTCTTAACTGATGAGCCATCTCTCCAGCCCCTAGACTTTTGTTTTTGACATAAGAATATTCTAGTTTCATTTCTGCTTCAGGCATAAAATGACCTGACAGAGCACTTTTAGAGGGTCAGGGCTTATTCCATTTACAATTCAGGATGAGAGTCTATCACTGCAGGATAGTCAAGGCAGAAACCTGAAGCAGCTAGTGATACCCACAGTCAAGAGTAGAGAGTAATTGGATGGCTTCACATACAGGCCTTTATATCTCCAAACACAGGTTACTGTTTAACGGTGTTCCTAGTGGATGCCTGAAACCAGATAGTCCTGTACTATATACACCCTATGGCTTTCCCCCCTAATTTAGTATGATATACTTTCCTCATTAGGAAAAAGTACTTAAAAGCTTCCCTTTGGCATAGCTAAGTTTCCAGGATTTTTGTTTTGAGACTTCTAGTAAATAAAATGAGAATCACTTGAGCATAAGCACTATGGTCCTTCCACAATCGACCAGACAACCAAGATGGCTACCAAGTGACTAATGCAAGCAGCACACAATGTGGCTGCAGTGGAGGAAAAGACTATTCATGCTAGTGACCAACAACAGCCTACTCAAGAATTCATCATGCTGCTCAGAACGGCATGTGACCAACAACAGCCTACTCAAGAATTCACCATGCTGCTCAGAACGACACATGCTTTAAACTTTATGAACTGTTGATTTCTGGAATTTTCCACTTAATATCTCCAGACTGCAGTCGACCATGGATAACAGAAACCAAAAATGAATCTCCAGGCAGACTTATATTACTGCAGTTAGCAGAGCACACGCTTGTACTGTACTTCATCATCTGTCCAGGCCAATCTGGACATCAACAATAAAGTGAATTTCTCAGACTATCAATCTCCTCATATGTTGAGGAATATCCCTGTTATTTAGGCATTTACTTTTCATATGGTTAGCATAATTTTCACCTGAACAAGAGGAACTAGGAACACATACATTGGAAAGGAAGGACAAAAGAAAAATCAGGGGACAAACTATTTGGGAGAGTAAATTCCTAGTTGTTGCATCAGAGATTTCCAATCCTGATCATATCCTGACCTGGTCCAAATCCTGCATTTCCAAAACATTATTTATTACCCATGATTCGATGAACGTCACGAGTTTTGTTTTTATATTTTAGCTCCTTTCGCTCTCCTTCCAACTTACTACAAGATCCTTAAAAATTATTGCACAGGAAACAAAGGGTGACATGTTTAAGGTCAACTTGAGACCCAGTCTCGGTGTTTTTTAAGTCTAAGAAAAACAGGAGTAAGAAAGTACAATGTGACACCAAATAGGGCAAAGATATCAAAGGGTCGGTTCTCAGTGGAAAAGCGCATGCTTCGGTTTTTGAAAGGGGAAGTCCTTGGAGGATTTTTATAAAGCAGAAAGTAGGCAGTATCTCTTGTTACTAAACATTTGTTCACCCAACAACTGTCTAGCAAACAAGCAGTGTGTGTCAAGCATTGCCAATCAGCACACGTGTCAGAAGACAGATGGAGATCACCTTGGTTTTACATCTCTGCAAATAATGTGCACAGCTGCATGCTCAGGGAAAACCCAAGCAGAACCATCAGTTCTGCTGAAAGAAATATAATTGACAAGCAGCATCATGATTTAGAATCAGAATTCAGAGTTTAAAGACAAACTAGGAAGTTAAAACTGGTGCTAAGAATAGTATTCTGTTGTTAATAGAGGAGAGGTGAGAGGTAGTCTGTGAAAACATCTTTAAGGTTATATGGTCCCATGTTCCAGTGGTAGTGGAAAATTGGACATTTGGAAATGAAAGACAAAACTCTGAGCTAAGATAGCACAGGAATTCAATTTTCACAGAGAAAAGAGATGTAAAGCTGTTTTAGGAATGTCTAAAAAAAGAGGGATTTCCACAATGGTGCACACCTTTACTCTAAGCATGTGGGAAGCAGAGGCCCTGTAGCTCTCTGAGTTTGAAGCAGGCCTGGTCTACAGAACAAGTTCCAGGAAAGCCAGGGGTACACAGAGAAACCCTGTCTTAATAAAAAGAAAAAAAGAAAAGAAAAAGGAAAAAGAAAAAGCGAAAAGTGTAGAGGGGGGATTTCTAAGGAAAAAAGAAAAAAATGGTGTGATGTAGAATTCAAACATATGTAGACAGTATCTTCAATCGATTCTAGAACTCTAGAGATCTTAGGGAGATTCCTGAGAAACTATTTCAAGAGGCATTCTCGACAAGTATTTCGAGGACCACACGCAACATGACTTTTTTCAAACGCACCAGCACGACTCCGATTTGAAAGTTCTCTTCCTGATACCCATGGCTCTTTTCCTTGCTTCAGCTTGGAGATCACACTCCGCTTAACCACGCGGTAGCCTGTTAAAGATAAAGGGGATGACACAGATTTCCTTGGAAGTGAGGTACAATTTCAGGAAAACGGTGAGGGTCTCACCTGTGCTTCACAAGTTTATTCTTTAAATGAAGATGTAGAGACACACATAGTTTTTCAGGTGTCCCCAAGCAGGCTGACTTGGGATCATGATACAACGTGTCACTCGACTTTACAGAGACCTTACATGTTCCAGTGCATGGGAGGAGAAACGGAGACAACTGGGGTCATAGATGAGGGAAGTTCTCTCACCCACAGCAAGCAGGTGACGGTAGTTCTCCAGCATCACATTCTTGTAAAGGGACTTCTGGGCTGGGGTCAGTAACTCCCATTCTGCCTTGGTGAATTCCACAGTAACATCCCTTAGTGTCACGGGTCCCTGAAACAACAATTCCAGTTCAGTCTGCGTGACTGACAGGAAGGTACAAGGGTTGGGGGGGTAGAGCATGCTTGCTTAGCATGTGCAAGGCCCTGAGTTCAACCCCAGGACAAAGGACAAAAAAGAAAAGGCTAGTTCATTAAACTAGTTCTGAGTGGACTTGTTATAGCCATGCTGGCTGGCTACATTTTGTCAAGGAGTTTCTTTTTGTCAAGAGGCAAAGATACAGATCCTTAATGTCTCTTTTGCAGCCAATGCTATGGCAGAAGTATGTTCAGACGGCGACAGTTACTTGCATTGTGAAACAGCTGTTAGATTTTATAAGGTGGTCAAACCATCTAATAAAAGCTAGAAGAAATAAAGAGTTCATAGTTGGCAATGATATGGAAGTATGAGGAATAACAACTGTAGGAAAATGTAAACGACATAAAAGGAGAACAGGGTGTAAAACTAAGTTAATTAACTTATGAAGTCAGGTAACAGAACACCAAGAATGTTTGGTGCTTTTCCTTTGTCCCCAGAAAACATATTTTGTACATACATGTAACAGACCTCATGTCATATTTATTTGCATCCGCTGTGTGAACTTTTCTCGGGGAGACACTAACAAATGTCTCTTCACTGCAGATAGGGCACCAATGACGACCAAAGTACAATTCCAACGAAGTCCAACTTGGTGAATCAAAGAGTCCACATCATTTTTCGAATTTAAGTTTATTTAAGAGAAAAAATGTGAGTAGATATTCCTCAATTTTACACCATGTGGACTGCCTTAGACATTTTTATAATGCTCACCCACTTTTATAGATGCAGACAACAGGAGCCACTAATGAGACAGAAGTATGTGGTGGGGTTATAGGGGTGGATCAGTGATCTATAGAGAAAACTAGGACAGCAGGGCACATGGTACATGACAGAGACATGAGCAATACACACAGTATCGAAGACACAGGCAAACCAAGAAGTATAACAGAGCTTTTGTGTTCGTGTGTTTGTGTGCAGCCAGACGTGTGCACTGTGTGTGCAAATGTGGAGGCCAGAGGTTGACACCATCTCTTTCTCTGTTCTCCTCCTTGTGGTGGCTTGAAGGAGAATGTCCTCCACAGGCGCTGCATTTGAATATTGGTCCCCAGGTGGTGGTGCTGGTTAGGGAGGACTAGGAGGTGTGGCCTCGCTGGAAGAGGTACATCTCTGGGGTTAGGCTTTGCAGGTTCGTGTTCACATGTGTCCATCTGGGTTTTTGTTTTACTTTTGTGCTTTTGTTTTTCTGGGATAGGGTTTCTCACTTGGGCCTGGGGTTCACTGACTGTGGCTTCCAGTTGGTGGCACTGTTTGGGGAGATTTAGGTGGTGTGGTACCCCAGAAGGAAGCCCTTGCTTCATGCTTGTGTTTAATGATGGGAACTCTCAGCATCCTCCCTGACTTTTAGGAATTTATTTTATTCATAATCAAATCACAATAAAAGTTGGTTTTATTATGATGAGGTATGAGACCATTGCTCAGGTGCTGGTTCAAAAGTCTATTCTTCTGTTAGCAAAGTATGTTATATACTAAAAAATCTCTAGGAAGGTAGTCCTATTCCAACATCATCCTAGATAGAAATCATAGCCAGTGATATGAAAGAAAATTTAAACTACAAAAGGATAAATAAAACTATTTTTCTTTGTAGATAAAATATATTTATGTGGGCAGCCTCAAAGAATCATCAAAGCATTTTCTGTGGCTAATAATTAAGATCAACATATTTTAATATGTATTTCTATATATAGTACCATTGAATACTTAAATATTAATCCAACCAAACACGTGCATGGCCTGTATAATATATAATATATATACCAATCAGCATATTTAATGTAATAATTCCAATCCAATTTTGACAAGGCATTTTATACTTGTCAGAGCTAATATAAAATGTATGTGGTTCTGCCAGCACACAGAAAGCAGAGGCAGACCAATAGCCATAAGTTTGAGGCAAACCTGATCTACATAATGTTGAAAGCTTTTCACACACAAAAAAGAACTAATTCACTAAAAATTGAATTTATATTTCCCTAATGATCAAACATGCTGAACATTTTTCACATATGTTCTGGCCATTTGTATTTCTCCATTTGCAAGCAAGTTTTGTGTATGTATTGATTTATTCATTCTATTTGTGCTTACGTTTTTGGGTCTTTATATATTCTGGCTATTAATCCCTGTTCGATGACTGAACAGTTGAAGAGATTTTCTCCCATTATGCAGGCCATCGTTTCATTCTGGCAACCATTTCCTTTGCGGTGCAGAAATGTTTTAGTTCAGTGAGATGTCCATCACAGGATGAGTGGAAAATGAAAATGTAGTATATACACACAATGGAATATTATTTGGCCATCAAAAAAAAAAAAAAGAAAATTGAAGATAAATAAATAGAACTGGAAATCATTCTGCGTGAGGCAACCTACACCAAGGAAATGATAAATGTCACCATGTACAGGTTAGCTCTGACTCCTTAGATATGTGTTCAAATTCCTATAGAAAGCAGGAGACTAGTAAGAGGGGGAATAGAACACAAGTGGTATGGAGGAAGAAAGAGGAATAACGGATCAGGAAGAGTTAAGGTGGGTGGGAAATAGGAAGGCAGGGTAGAGGAGGCATATGGAGAGGGATAACCTACACTAAATGCCTTTGAATAGAAATATGTAAAATTACTACAGAAGCTTCCTAGAAATATACATACAAATCATATTTGAAAGGAGCTTGAGTAGCGTCATTCTATAATAGGTCCAATACTTCTCCCAGATACATTGGGCTATCAAATAAAAATCCTAGTGCCAGGTTTTTTGAGCTGTTGGTCAGTGGGGTCTCACAGACAACTCAAATATCACGGGCTATTGCCATGACTTAGTTGTCCACAGAACTTGATGGCAAGACCCTATTGCTGAAAGTATCATATACTTGAGTCATAAGACATGGATAAATCAAGCTGGTACCGACCTGGAAGCTGCCCATTGGCTAGTTTTCATAGCGCTGGAAGGTTCTATGCACAATAGAAAATCACCAGCCATCTCACTGAGCCTCTGTAATGATTGTCCTAGCAAGATGTGCCAACTGGTACAATAGCATCATAAATGCTATGGGAATAACCAACTAGCTTTAACGCCCGCTTCACAATATAGAACTCATACCTGGTACCATTAACAGAACTAAAAACCTGCTGCTGGTTAGGTCATGGGCCCTAGGGAAGAACCTATTATTATTCTGCTAAATGAACACAGTAATAAACGACCTAAGTTTTTATCACTGTACCACAGATTAAGGAATCTCTCAACCCTCACCAAGAAGCTTCTTTTCGTAGTCGCTGGTGATCAACACAGACCTAACTGCAATAGGAGACTGTAGCATGCTCAGACCTAACTGGACAGTCTATCATGCCCTCTGTCTCCCAGGTCTCAGGGATCAGTGGAGAGACTGTAGTGCCAGAGGCAGTGGCATTAACTACAGTTAAATGGTGTTTTCCAAAGGGGTCAAGACCATGAAAGGAAAACCCACAGAATCAGCTAACTTGAGCTAGTGAGAGATCACTGACTCAGATCTGACAAATGGGGAACCTGCATAAGACTGAACTAGACTCCCTTAATATAGGTGACAATGGTGTGACTGGAACAATATATGAGGTCACTGGCAGTGGCTCCAAGATCTAACACTAAAGCACAAGCTGACATACTGGAGCCCATTCTATATGGAGAGACACCTTGCCCAGCCTAGACACAGGGGTGGGGTGGGGGCTGGAGAAGTGTCTCGGTCCTGCCTCAAGGAGATGATGGGACAGACTTAGAGACTTCCTAGGGGAGGCCTTACCCCCTCTGAGGAGCAGATGGGAGTTGGGGGGAGGGAAGTGGGGGAAAGGGGAGGGGGAACTATGATTGGAATGTAAAAAACAATTTAAACATTTTTAAAAAGAGGAAAATTGTGTTTTCCAGGCACATGGGGACATACATGAATTCACAATGGTTATGAAAGCATGCACAAAACCTGTGCAAACTCATGCCAGATGAAATTCCAAACTGGGGAGGGGATCAAGTCCTACCCTTAGCTGAGGAGCTATCAACAACTGATAGCTGCTGGGAGAGGAAGAATAGTTTTGGGTGTTTTGGGGGGGGTCGTATTTCAAGACAGTTTCTTTGTGTAGCCCTAACTTGTCCTGGCACTCACCCTGTAGACCAGGCTAGCCTCAAACTCACAGAGATCCACCTGCCTCTGCCTCCTACGTGCTGGGATTAAAGGCGTGTGTCACCACCAAGAACTTTTTTTTTTTTTTAAAGCTGTGGCTCCGTATAGGTAGTCTGGCTCCAGTGGAAAACCACATTTATCAAAATATTGGATTTAAGTTTTCTTTCTTTCTTTTTTAATGAGGACACAAAGTTGGGTGGGCAGGGAAGCAGAGGTGGATCTGGTAGGAGTTGGGGACTAGGGATGACCTGATCAAAAATATACTGTAGCAAATTCTGAAAGAATTTTCAAGTATTTTGAAATGTAAAGATACAACAAATTAAGGGCTCTGACAAGCTCTCAGACATACTCAGACTTCTATGTCAAAGTAACTTGGACTCCATTCAGGTTCACTCTTAGTAACCAAAGTACACAGTAACAACCAGCACCAAATGGCAACAACATTCATGATGCCTATATCTTAAGGGCCCGTGTTTCTCCATTACATGGCATTTAAGGTAACTCATAGTTTAGCTAGCCGAGATTAAGACATATATTAAATACTCATATTTTACTACTACTAATAATTTTACAAAACAATTCCCACTACAATCCCCTTTCCCTTTCTGATTATAAAATAAAACAAAAAGACTTAAATCAACATATCATGAAGACACTTGAACATCAATATTTACTGTAGCACTATTTATAATAGCTGCAATATAAAACTAACCTGTGTCCAACAACAGAAAAATGGATAAAGAAAATGTGGCATCTACACACAAAGGAATTTCTGCCCTAAGGAATAAAGAAGATATGGTGTTTTGCAGGTCAATAGATGTGATGGCAGATAAACATTAACTGAGTCAAGCCATTATCAGAGTGACAGATATAGTATGTTTTCATTCATTTGAGGGCCCAAAATCATATAGATATACAAAATCACACATTGAGAGGTGGCGTGTGTGAGTGTGTGTGTGTGTGTGAGTGTGTGTGTGTGTGTGTGAGAGAGAGAGAGAGAGAGAGAGAGAGAGAGAGAGAGAGAGATCCAGTTCCCAGTAGATTTGATCTAGGGATTGTTTCCTTAATGACTTTACCACCTAGTTCTCTCCTGAAGATTGCATCCCTGCCTACTGAGTCTTATCTGTGTCAGACCTCAGGAATGAGTCTCTCTACACTATATTTAATATGTAAACACTGTACAATAATATGTGCCAAAGATGTACAACAGTACATTCCATATGTCAATGTAACTCACACTTCTGCTACTCAACTTGTGCAATCTTTCCTCAGCTGTTCCCTGACATCATCCTCCTTGTTTTCAGTCCTGCAGGGCAGTCATCAACCTATCATTGCCTTCACACCACTCGGACAAACGCAATTTGCTCATTAATAATACGACCTTTGACATTACCAAATCCCTCAAAAAGGTTGGAGGGCACTTGGGGCTCTGCAGACCATACTTTGAGAGCTACTGTTTTATTTAACCCTAAAGGTGATTTTAAACCAGTCATACTTTCCTAGTTAAATATAGAGATGCTTTCTATCTTTTTAGATTTATTTATTTTATTTTATGTGTATGAGTGGCCTGCTTGCATGCATGCATGCATGTATGTATGTATGTATGTATGTATGTATGTATGTATGTGCACCATGTAAATGGTGGTAGCTGCGGAGGTCAGAAGAGGGCATCGATTCTCTGGAACAGGAGTTACCGATGGCTTTGAGAAACTATGTCAGTGCTGGGAATCAAACCTGGGTCCTCTATAAAAGCAACAACTGCTCTTAACCACTGAGTCAATTCTCCAACCCCATAGATTCTCTTCAGAAAAACCTCACTGAACATGTGTGCACACACAGAGTTAAACACTTTAGGTTACTCACCTTGAACTTGTTCATTTTCTGTTGAGTTTTTAGAAAGGGCTTCTCTACCCTTTAAAGCTGGGAGGGTGAAGTCATAAGAAATGGGATGCCACAGCTCCGGGTCTCCTGTGAGAAATTTGTATACAGCATTTTAGCACTATCTACAGAGAAGCTGTCCTTTTGACCCAATCAGAAGGTCTACGATGAAGTAATACTTATCTAACATAACCGTGATGAGCCCAAGACAGTTTTTTTTTTTTTAACTAAATCTAAACATTTCAACTGTCTGTTTGAAAAGCCGGTGTTTGCTTACTGACTAATACAAAAGAACTGAACACTTAAACACTGAATAATAGATCACTTCAAAGGAGGTACAACATTCGAACACTGAGAACTGTGTTTACATTGGTGATAACATTTTTTTTTCTGTTAGTACAACTCCCCAAAAGTTAATAGAAAGTCACTTTAAAGCTTTCAAACATGAGACACATCTTCTCCCTAAATGACAGTCTTAATGCAAAAAGAAAACAAAACACTTCTTCAAGAACTTTATGATACATTCTCATTTACATATGATGTATTTCATTTACAAATGACCCATTCTCATTTACATACGACAAGTTCTCATTTACATGTGATACATTTTGTCTTTCATTCTATTGCAGGGACTTAGTTTCAATGTCCTCACAAAACAGGCTAAATCTGGGGTAAATTTTAGTTACGTTTTAACAAACTTTGACATGACTCCCAAATCTAGTTTTGAAACAAATCTATCCCAAAATATCAATTTGAAGTGAGATGCGGTGATGCACACCTTTAACCCCAGCACTGCAAAGCCTGGGGCAGGAGGACAGTAAGATCAAGGCCAGCTTAAGCTACACATTCAGAGTTAGACCAGCTTGTAATACATAGTGAGACCTTGTTTTTTAAAAAGTCATTAATTAGACAACAGTTTTAGTTCCACATGCCCTAAACAGGCATATCGAGTATACAGTTAAAAGAACCAAATGCTCAAATCCAGCCAGCAGAACGCTTTCAAAATGCCTAATATGTAAGTAAAACGGCCAGATACAAATGAGCATTAGGAAATCGCCTTCATAATAGAGAACATAAATGAACTACAGTTTTCATCTTTTAAAGAAGAAAATCTGTGTCTGTTAGACTTGATGGCACACACCTGTAAACCCAGTATTCCCAAGGATGAGGCATGGCACGAGGATCAACAGCTTCAAACTAGTCTGGAGCTACAAGACCGGATCGCGCACCCCTCCCCCAACCAATCTGCCTCATTTCTATTCCCTCCGAGGATGAATACAATATTCACCTTCTTAGTAAAATTTAATTTTGAAAGGGATTTTAAGAAGAAATACTGTTCTTCCAAATAACGGCTCAACAATCTCACAAAAGCTGGTTGAGGGATGTAGGGAGAGCCTTAATTAATCGTTCACACTAAAGGGATCGAGAGGAGACTCAAGAATTTTTAGAAATAGAAAACTCCAGGTATGATCAAGTATGCTTCATCGCTTTGTTTTCAGCTGCTGCGCAGAAAACAAACGCAGACAGGACCGCCAGGGACTGGTGGGAACCACAGAGTAAAACAAAAGAGGATTAAGGCCACCCGCAGGTACTGGGTAAATCAAATAGCCTCCAGTGTTCGCGCCTAGAGGGCCGAGATGAAAGGACCCTGCACGAGAAACCGGGAAGCATCCCGCCCTGCTGGTTCCTCGGCACTCTGCACGACTGTCCCGCTCTGTGCGCCCAGGGCGACTCTCACCTCGGTGACAGCGGTGTCAGGGAGTCCCACGGCCTCCGCCGCAGACGCTCGGGGGTGGCTGAGCAGCGGGCGGACGCCAACGTGGCGGGCGGACGAGGAAGCGGTGAATGAGCGCCACGTCACCCGGGCGGAGGCTCAGACCGACCTCTCCACCGCTGCCCTCCCCTCCCTCCCCCAGTTCGCCCCGCGCCCCTCCCGCCGCCTCCCGGAGTGGGGGGTCCTGCGCTCGCCCGCTTGCACCCGTCAGACTCCGAGGCCCCCAGGCCCGGAGGATGCTGTGGTGCTCAGTCACCCCCTCCAGCCTCCCCAGCCCCCCAGTCCCCCAGCTTCCCCAGCGCCCCCCGCTCCCCAGTCCCCCCTAGGCAAAGGACAAAACTTCCGCGGGTGACAGAAGAGGGCTCTGCCCATGCGCCGAACAACCCTCTGAGGGAAACTACGCTTTCCAGAAGCCTCCGCGACGACTCCATTTTGGATCAGGTTATGAAGTTTGGCGCTGAGTGGCTCACTGTCCTCACCGCTGTGTGCGGTGCCACTACCCCGCCCGCCTGGTCTTTATGCGGGTGATTGGGCGGGCAGTGGGCACCCTGGGCAGGAAGACAGACGCTGTCTGAGGTTGTGCAGTGTGTATTGGGGCAGCTTAAGTACTTGGAACCAAGAGCGATCTTACATCCAAAGATTTCAGTTTTGTCCTAGGGTTGCCTGATTTCAAAGCTATGTAAACGATAACACAAAGTGTGAAAGAAAAAAAAAAAAGTGTAGTATATATAAACCAAAAGAGCAGATATTAAATAAACTGTCATACATGTTAATTCCCAAAGAATTATCCAACCAATACAGATGTCATTAGTACCCTCTCACTAAGAATGATATACTGAATATGTAAAACAACTTGTGTATGTCCCTGTCAACAACTTCAGTTTGCAATGTAGTAAATTTAGAAATATTTAATCTTCCATAAGATTACAATATAATATACATGAAATGTATACAATATATGTATATATGGTGCCAGAGCTTTTAGAATCAAAGGCTGAGCCCTGGCAGCCAAAAGAAGCCAGGCTCACCCACTGGTCCTCAAATGGCCTACTAAATTGACAGTGGTATTGCCAGGCAGCAGTGAGCCTTTAATTCCAGCACAGAAAGACAGATCTCTGAGTTCTAGGCCAGCCTGGTATCCAAAGCAAGTTCCAGGACAATCAGGACTACACGGATAAACCCTGTCTTGAAAAACAAGCAAAAAGAGACAAAAGTAACATGGAAACAAACAGCCTGTAAGATTCAGGGTAAAAACATTGTTGACAGAAACACAGCTCTCACATTAAAGGGATAAGAAAATTTTATTTTGGAACCAAATTTAGTGATCATGGTCCTGAGACACGGATTTAAGGCACCCCAAACATGTTTTAACATGGGAACAGCTTCATGGAGCCATTTTATTTTGTTTATGGGTATTTTGCCTGCATGTATGTTTGTGTATCGTGTGTGTGTGTGTGTGTGTGTGTGTGTGTGTGTGTGTGCCATGTATGATGAGGCCAGAAGGGGGCTCCTGATCCCATGAACTGAAATTATGATCAGTTGTGAGCCCTAAAGTTGTGCTGAGAACTGAACCCTGGTTCTCTGTAGAGCACCCGGTGCCCTTAACCTCTGACCCATCTCTCTAGTCCCATCTCAAAGCCTTTATTGTAGAACAAAAGAAGCCTAAGTAAGCACACAAACACATTAGTGAAAACATCAGTAGATAGGTTAACATCAATGGGGAAACCTTTGCCCTAAGCTTTGGGTACTATCTGATGACACTCACAGACCTTTGGTTGGCAGGGGCTACATATCTGTAAACTCCAAACAATTTACCTAATGGTCACAAAGATGTTAGCATACGCACAGGAGAGGACAATAAATGGCTATTAAGGTGGCTAACGTTGCAGGGGCAAAATAGCACATGCCTTTAATGCCAGCACTCAAGAGGCAGGCACACTTGAGGCAGGCTAGCCTCAAATTTACAGAGCCAGTTCTACATAGCAAGTTTCAGGCCAGCCAGGGTCACATAGTGAGAGCCTGTCTGCCGTGTGTGTGTGTGTGTGTGTGTGTGTGTGTGTGTGTGTGTGTGTGTGTTTGGGTGCAGTCACTAAAGACTGCCCATAACAACTTGGCTTTGGACCTGTAGCATTCCGAGCTCTTCATAATCAATTAGTTCTAATTAGTTCATTAGCATGCACAAGATTCAGTGAAAGGTACAGGACTTTCACTCATAGTTTTACTAGCCCAGAGTTGATATAAAGGTTTTAATAAAGAATAGACTGTACAAAGAAATACAATGGACAGTGTCTCAGGGGTTAGGGAGCGACTGGCATCCCTAAGAGGAAATGGGGTCATTTGCAGGTAAGTCACCTGCTTTTCCTGCAAGGCTGGCATGTGGGATGGGTTTGAATGAGGTCAAGAGGGAAGCCCAGTGACAGGATAGTGGATTTCAGAATGCGTGCGACCTGTCCTCCCTGAGACTGACCATTTGGGGTGAGATGTCAGAGTCATTACCAGTTAAGCGTAACTGTTACTGTGAAAGCCTCACAGGTTTCTGGGTCGGGAGCCCAGCAGTCAGACCCTGCCTGCTAGATGGTGGGATTTGCTTATTTCCAGCCTTTCTATTTTTGTGTTTTTGTCTCTACAAGTATCAGTGACAAGGCAAAGAAGGGAATTCCATTCAGTGTGGCCACATTGGGAAGAGGCACAAAGAGGGCCAGCATCCAGCCTTCCTAAGGTCCACCTTCAGGGACCCACATGAGGTTAGTTTACATAGTGTAGAAGAGGCATACAAAGCCAAATCGTCCTATTCCAAGTGAGGTCCGGTATGTAGGACCTGCAAATTGTGATGTGTTTCTTCTGGTTGGTGTCAAGGGCCCACCCAGCCTTTTCTTTCCCCTGGAAAAAAAAAACCCAACTCACTGGGTCATATTCTCGGATAGTCTGATGGTGTCTGGTGTCTCTCTTTAGAACAGCTTCATTTCTGGCAGGACAGTTACACATATACCCAATGGAAAGTAAGAAAGCTAAAAGTAAAACCAAAACCCCCCACATTTTAACAAGCAAACCCTGACTTCTTGGAGCTTACCCCCAGTGAGTAGGAACTAACCCATTGGGCTGGAGAGATGGCTCCCTGGTTAAGAGCACTTGTTCTTGCTAAGGACCCGAGTTCCCACATGGCAGTTAACAACTGTGTAATTCCAATTCCAGGAAATCTTCTGCCCTCTTCTGGCCTTTGAAAGTACTGCATGCACATGGTGTGTAGACATACAGGCAGAGAAAACACACATAATATTTTTTTTAAAGTAAACTAATCCATAATGGTCTGTGGCACCTTGATGGCTAGTCTAACCTTAAATGGTTAATCTTAGAAAAGACAACCAGTGAAGTAAAACACTGCTTAACAGAGTATTAAGTAGCCAAATGGTGGTGGCAGAGGCCTTTTAATCCCAGCACTTGGGAGGCAGAGTTCAAGGCCAGCATGGTCTACAGAGTGACTTCTAGGACAGCCAGGGATACACAGAGAAACTCTGTCTTAAGAAACAGAGAGAGAGGGAGAGGGAGAGAGCAAGAGAGAGAGAGAGAACAAAAGAGAAAGAGAGAGAGATACAGACTCAGCACAAATGGCCCATAAAACTAAATAATCTCCCCCACAGCTACTGTGATAAACTCCACCCCCCTCAGCCATTCAAGACAATCCACCCTCAGAGAGCTTTCTTGATGTGGATGTACATACTGAACGTAATAAATGGTTTACTTCTGCCTTTCCTTTTGCTTTTGTAAATCCATGACAGCGCCTGTATTCCTGACCTATCACATCATCAATGCATGGCTCACCTATTTATGCTCATAGTTACACATATACACACGTTGTAGGTACATGGTACCTTTCCAGGTGTCAGGTGCTGGAAAAGTAATTAAGAACAAAGTTCCTGCCTGCCAACCACAGATGGTTAAAGGACAGGACAGCTTTATTTTTGAAAAAGAAAAAGCATTATCCATATGAGTTACAGGTCATTCACTGATGAGTTTTCAGCTTCATATAGACATGGACCATCCATCACGTGTTCTCAAAACAGGTATCTCTGTCCACTTACAGCCTTGCCCAATCAAAAAGGGATGCTTCTTATATTTCATGTGACTGGTGCCAACGGCAATGGGGCACGGGCCTCACACACAGCCTTCTCTAATCTGTTGATGTCAGCTTTGGATTCAGATGTGTAACCTTGGACTTGTTTCAAATGCAGATCCTTAGGTACTACTCCAAGTGGAAGACAGAAGCTAGGGAACTCACCAGTCTGGTTTATTTGTTTGTTTGCTTTAGTTTGTGTTTTTCGAGACAGGGTTTCTCTGTGTAGCCTTGGCTGTCCTGGAACTAGCTCTTGTAGACCAGGCTGGTCTTGAACTCACAGAGACATGCTTGCCTCTGCCTCTTAAGTACTGGGATTAAAGGCACACACCACCACCGTCTGGCTCACCAGTCTGTTTTACAAAGAGTCGGTGTGATGCCAATAGCCACCAAGCTTAAGAATCACTTACCTTTTTTCTCCCAATCTTCTTAAAGCTTCTGGTTTACACTGGATGATTCATCTCTACTCAGTTACATCACAAACCTTTTATCTTTATCCTTTCATTTCTAGTTCAGAGTATTGTGACATGTTTTCCTAAAATGCCATGCCGATGTTCTAACATCTGTGGCTGGCCTGGAGAAACAGGACCTTTCTGCTCAGTGAATTGGTGTCCACTGTTTATTGTCCCTTCCATCATCAGTACTGTTAGTGTAACAGGCTTCTACATCAGTATTTTCCGTTAAGTGGTGGTGGTTTTTATTTAAGTTGTTCACTGCCTTTCTCAAGAGAATTAGTTCTCTAAATAGAAACTTAATCACATAACTTCATTATACACTCATATCTTTTCTTTGGCTCTCTCTTTATATATAACAATGAACCTAAATTAAGGCATGTACCATAGAAGATTTCCAAAACTAAATTAATTAGTTATTTTCTCCTATATCTTGTATAGGTGTTACAATCATGGCAGTTAAAAAAAGAATCTTTCCATTTTATCCATGTCTCAGTGTCTCCAAATGGAAAAATTAGGACCTAGGTATGTATTTACAGTAAATAAAAGTGCATGCTGCATTTCTTCTCTCCTTATTGGTATCTCCAAAAGACCTG